GACTTCAACTGTATCCTCTATGAGTGCCTGCACTATAAACTTCTCTTACCCTACAATCTTCTCCCTCCACCTCTCTCTCTCTCTCTCTCTCTCTCTCTCTCAACGTGGCACAGGGCTGACTGCAGTCTGAGGGTAGTGGTTAGTACTGGAGCGCTCAGGGCAGGGTTCAGACACAGAAAAACTACCACATAATCAAAGAGTCCAAACAGAGAGAGAGAGAGATTGGGAGAGACAGAGAGAGAAAAAAGGAGGAGAGATTGAGAGAAGGCAAGCCCTTCAAGTCTCTCTCCCTTCCACTGCTCTTTTCTCCACCTCTCCCTCTTCAACACACTATCTCTGTTACATACTTCTGTTTCCTCAGCCATGTGAGCTTATCTAGGACAGCTTGATCCACTCTTCCTCTGTTGATTCAGGCTTTGTCTCTCCTGCATGCTTGTAGATAGCGACAGCTTGAAGAAAACGTTCCTGTAATGTTGTCTTTCCATTAGTCAGCCACAGAGCTGATCTAACAGGGTCAATGGTAAATGCTAATATTTTCATCCCTCCTCTGATCTAGAGATAAAACCTGACAGGGAAACACACTGATGCTGCCTGCCCTGCCATAAATGTGTGTATCAGTGCATGTGGGTAGATGTGTGTGGTGTGTTGTCAAGTAAATGTGTATGTTTTTTTAACACTCATCAGGAGGCATCAGTCAGTGAAAATGCGTGTGCATATTAATTTATCTGGTGTGTGCTGATATGATATGGATGTGAGTCCTGTGAGACATGTTGCTACACATGCAGAGATACAAACAGACACAAATGTGTGTTCGCATGTTGAACAGTCGCTGTGTGTTTTTATGTATGTGTTAGCCTCATGCTGATACTTGCAATACATGCTGAGTGATTTAGCTCAAAGGCACATTCATTTGAAAATATGTACAAGTATGATTGTTTGTATGTGCCATGTTACACTGAATACATTATGTGTGTGTGCGTGCAGACTTGCATATATGGTGTATGTCTGTGTGTGTGTATCACAGGAGGTTGGTGGCACCTTAATTGGGGAGGACTGTCTCATGGTAATGGCTGGAGCGAAATAGTGGAATGGTATCAAACACATGGTTTCCCTCTGCTCTGTTCTGGACATTATTATGAGCCATCCTCCCCTCAGCAGCCTCCACTGGTGTGTATGTTTATATACAGTTGAAGTCAGAAGTTTACATACACTTAGGTTGGAGTCATTAAAACTCGTTTTTCAACCACTCCACACATTTCTTGTTAACAAACTATAGTTTTGGCAAGTCGGTTAGGACATCTACTTTGTGCATGACACAAGTAATGTTTCCAACAATTGTTTACAGACAGATTATTTCACTTATAATTTACTGTATTACAATTCTAGTGGGTCAGAAGTTTACGTACACTAAGTTGACTGTGCCTTTAAACAGCTTGGAAAATTCCAGAAAAGGATGTCATGGCTTTAGAAGCTTCTGATAGGCTAATTGACATCATTTGAGTCAATTGGAGGTGTACCTGTGGATGTATTTCAAGGCCTACCTTCAAACTCAGTGCCTCTTTGCTTGACTTCATGGGAAAATCAAAAGAAATCAGCCAAGACCTTAGAAAAAAAGTATTCTTTATCCTTGGGAGCAATTTCCAAACGCCTGAAGGTACCACGTTCATCTGTACAAACAATAGTACGCAAGTATAAACACCTTGGGACCACGCAGCCGTCATACCGCTCAGGAAGGAGACGCGTTCTGTCTCCTAGAGATGAACGTACTTTGGTGCGAAAAGTGCAAATCAATCCCAGAACAACAGCAAAGGACCTTGTGAAGATGCTGGAGGAAACAGGTACAAAAGTATCTATATCCACAGTAAAACGAGTCCTATATCGACATAACCTGAAAGGCCGCTCAGCAAGGAAGAAGCCACTGCTCCAAAACCGCCATAAAAAAGCCAGACTACGGTTTGCAACTGCACATTGAGACAAAGATCGTACTTTTTGAAGAAATGTCCTCTGGTCTGATGAATCAAAAATAGAACTGTTTGGCCATAATGACCATCGTTATGTTTGGAGGAAAAAGGGGCAGGCTTGCAAGCCGAAGAACACCATCCCAACTGTGATGCACGGGGGTGGCAGCATCATGCTGTGGTGGTGCTTTGCTGCAGGAGGGACTGGTGCACTTCACAAAATAGATGGCGTCATGAGGAAGGAAAATTATGTGGATATATTGAAGCAGCATCTCAAGACATCAGTCAGGAAGTTAAAGCTTGGTCGCAAATTGGTCTTCCAAATGGACAATGACCCCAAGCATACTTCCAAAGTTGTGGCAAAATGGCTTAAGGACAACAAAGTCAAGGTATTGGAGTGGCCATCACAAAGCCCTGACCTCAAGCCTATAGAAAATGTGTGGGCAAAACTGAAAAAGCATGTGCGAGCCAGGATGCCTACAAACCTGAGTCAATGCTACCAAATACTAATTGAGTGAAAATGATCGGAGAGGTTGAGAGTAGAAGAAGTTCAGGAGAAAGAACAAACAAAATATAATTACTGTAAAATTGACTGTGTCCATAAAATGTAGATAGTGGGTATGGGCTGGAAGTAGAGGCCTAGGCGTTGTTGTTCACTAGTTTACTCCAAGTGGGGAAAGGGTGGCGGGGTTGGAAAGTAATAAAGGGGAATATATATATATTTTTAAAGGATGTGTATGTATATACAGTGGGGAAAAAAAGTATTTAGTCAGCCACCAATTGTGCAAGTTCTCCCACTTAAAAAGATGAGAGAGGCCTGTAATTTTCATCATAGGTACACGTCAACTATGACAGACAAAATGAGGAAAAAAATCCAGAAAATCACATTGTAGGATTTTTAATGAATTTATTTGCAAATTATGGTGGAAAATAAGTATTTGGTCAATAACAAAAGTTTCTCAATACTTTGTTATATACCCTTTGTTGGCAATGACACAGGTCAAACGTTTTCTGTAAGTCTTCACAAGGTTTTCACACACTGTTGCTGGTATTTTGGCCCATTCCTCCATGCAGATCTCCTCTAGAGCAGTGATGTTTTGGGGCTGTCGCTGGGCAACACGGACTTTCAACTCCTTCCAAAGATTTTCTATGGGGTTGAGATCTGGAGACTGGCTAGGCCACTCCAGGACCTTGAAATGCTTCTTACGAAGCCACTCCTTCGTTGCCCGGGTGGTGTGTTTTGGATCATTGTCATGCTGAAAGACCCAGCCACGTTTCATCTTCAATGCCCTTGCTGATGGAAGGAGGTTTTCACTCAAAATCTCACGATACATGGCCCCATTCATTCTTTCCTTTACACGGATCAGTCGTCCTGGTCCCTTTGCAGAAAAACAGCCCCAAAGCATGATGTTTCCACCCGCATGCTTCACAGTAGGTATGGTGTTCTTTGGATGCAACTCATCATTCTTTGTCCTCCAAACACGACAAGTTGAGTTTTTACCAAAAAGTTATATTTTGGTTTCATCTGACCATATGACATTCTCCCAATCCTCTTCTGGATCATCCAAATGCACTCTAGCAAACTTCAGATGGGCCTGGACATGTACTTGCTTAAGCAGGGGGACACGTCTGGCACTGCAGGATTTGAGTCCCTGGCGGCGTAGTGTGTTACTGATGGTAGGCTTTGTTACTTTGGTCCCAGCTCTCTGCAGGTCATTCACTAGGTCCCCCCGTGTGGTTCTGGGATTTTTGCTCACCGTTCTTGTGATCATTTTGACCCCACGGTGTGAGATCTTGCGTGGAGCCCCAGATCGAGGGAGATTATCAGTGGTCTTGTATGTCTTCCATTTCCTAATAATTGCTCCCACAGTTGATTTCTTCAAACCAAGCTGCTTACCTATTGCAGATTCAGTCTTCCCAGCCTGGTGCAGGTCTACAATTTTGTTTCTGGTGTCCTTTGACAGCTCTTTGGTCTTGGCCATAGTGGAGTTTGGAGTGTGACTGTTTGAGGTTGTGGACAGGTGTCTTTTATACTGATAACAAGTTCAAACAGGTGCCATTAATACAGGTAACGAGTGGAGTACAGATGAGCCTCTTAAAGAAGAAGTTACAGGTCTGTGAGAGCCAGAAATCTTGCTTGTTTGTAGGTGACCAAATACTTATTTTCCACCATCATTTGCAAATAAATTCATTAAAAATCCTACAATGTGATTTTCTGGATTTTTTTTCCTCAATTTGTCTGTCATAGTTGACGTGTACCTATGATGAAAATTACAGGCCTCTCTCATCTTTTTAAGTGGGAGAACTTGCACAATTGGTGCCTGACTAAATACTTTTTTTCCCCACTGTATGTATGTATGTGTGTATATGTGTATGTATGTGTATGTATGTATGTATGTATATATATATATATCTATATAAAAAAAAAACATGGGGGATTGGAAGTGATGCAGACAATTACATTGATGGAAGTTACAATCTATCTGCAATATTAAGCTGATCTACCCCCCCCCCACCCCAAAATAAAAAAATAAATTAAAATTAAAATAATAATTGAGTGTATGTAAACTTCTGACCCACTGGGAATGTGATGAAAGAAATAAAAGCTGAAATAAATAATTATCTCTACTATTATTCTGACATTTCACATTCTTAAAATAAAGTGCTGATCCTAACTGACCTAAGACAGGGAATTCAGGAATTGTGAAAAGCTGAGTTTAAATGTATTTGGCTAAGGTGTATGTAAACCTCCGACTTCAACTGTAGCTTCAGGCCGAGCTCCTCCCTCCCTATCTCTCTGCTCTTCCACTGGTATGTGAGTGATGGGAGGGGTGCTGCATGTCACAACATAGCTTCACTACTGAGCACACTGTCTACCCACAGGGTATGACTGGATCTGTGTGTGTGCACGTGTGTGCGTGACTATGTGTCTGAATAAATGTATATATTTTCTAAGACATGAGTGTCCCATAGGCCTTTACAAATGTAAAATGTAAATACAGATGTTTATATTAAAGTACCTTTCCTATGAGGTAAATTATTTTACAGCTTCTGAAGCACACAGGCCTTCTCTGACTCTTTCACCTCGGCCCTGGTTATGAAGGATAACATTATTGTTTTGGTTTGGGGGGAGTGGATGGGTGGGGGCCCCTAAATGCCACGTGCCTCCAGACCATGTTAGGCCTTCATTATGTGAGGGTCACCTCACGCCTCGACCTCCTCTCCCCAAATTATTTCCCCTTCCTCTTTCCTAACCAAGATCCAGAGGGAGGAGGGAGATATTAGAGTGGAAACCACACCCCTGGTCTCCCCTAACTAAACACACCTGCTAACCACAGTGGTTCATGGTTCCAATAGCACAGAGTCACACAGAAACAGACTGACTGGCTCTGTGGTGTATGGGCAGCAGGCAGCAGGAAGGCAGGCTGGCAGACTGAACGGTGGCCATACTGTAGCAGCACACACAGCCAGCCACATTAATAAACACTTCCTCTCCCAGCCGGTAAACACTGTGGAGACGGTTGCCATGGCAATGTCAGGCCAGCTAGCAGGAAGCGGACACACTTAAGGGACTGATGTGTGTATGTGACTGGCCCAGGGTCTGGCCTTACTATCGTAGCTGAGGTTAAGTACAAGTAGCTGGCATATGTAGATGTGGCAAACTGTAGATAACACATCAAAATGCATATTGTCTGTCTGCATTAATAAAGTATACACCCTACCTCCAGCCCTCTTAAAAGCCCAGCTGTTTTGGAGGATCTTCTGAAGCTCTCTCAGAGGACCCCAAACCCATCCATGCTAGCCTCCCCCACCCTTCTCCTCCTCCATCTGGCTGGTGGTTTGCCTGAGTGGATGTCTAAAAATGTAACAACATGTTAGAAGCCCCCTCCTCTCCTCTCCCACCAGGCACTCCCATCCTCAATAAAGACATGATGTCTTCATCCTCTCACAGTATCCTGAATCTGTGTATCCCAATGACATTCCCATATTGGGAAATAGCAGAAGTGCTCCGGATATTGGAATTCATACAGGAAATAAGCTTGTTTCAGTCCAACCCTCGTCTCTGCTCTGATATCTCTCCTCCAAGCTCAGTCAGGATTACACAGCTATTTCCTGTTCCTTATCTACGCAGAGACATCTCAATTCCAAAGCCTAGGCTACTAAGTCTAGGGAGAAGGTCCGGAAACTGTAGGTGTTACCAGTAGGCCCTGTGTCACTAAACCTTATACAAACCAAGTGTGTGTACATGTCCAGTAACAGTCAAAGGTTAGGACACACCTACTCATTCAAGGGTTTTTCTTTATTTTTACTATTTTCTACTATCTTCAAAGTAGCCACCTTTTCCCTGATGACAGCTTTGCACACCCTTGGCATTCTCTCAACCAGCTTCACCTGGAATGCTTTTCCAACAGTCTTGAAGGAGTTCCCACATATGTTGAGCAATTGTTGGCTGCTTTTCCTTCACTCTGCTGTCCAACTCATCCCAAACCATCTCAATTGGGGTGAAGTCGGGTGATTGTGGAGGCCAGTTAATCTGATGCAGCACTCCATCACTCTCTTTCTTGGTCAAATAGCCCTTACACAGCCTCGAGGTGTGTTGGGTCATTGTCCTGTTGAAAAACAAATGATAGTCCCACTAAGCGCAAACCAGATGGGATGGCGCATCGCTGCAGAATTCTGTGGTAGCCATGCTGGTTAAGTGTGCCTTGAATTCTAAATAAATCACTGACAGTGTCACCAGCAAAGCACCCCCACACCATCACACCTCCTCCTCCATGGTTCACGGTGGGAACCACACATGCGGAGATCATCCGTTCACCTACTATGCGTCTCACAAAGACACGGCGGTTGGAACCAAAATTCTCAAATTTGGACTCATCAGACCAAAGGACAGATTTCCACCGGTCTAATGTCCACTAATCGTGTTGCTTGGCCCAAGCAAGTCTCTTCTTCTTATTGGTGTCCTTTAGTAGTGGCTTCTTTGCAGCAATTTTACCATGAAGGCTTGATTCACGCAGTCTCCTCTGAACAGTTGATGTTGAGATGTGTCTGTTACTTGAACTCTGTGAAGCATTTATTTGGGCTGCAATTTCTGAGGCTGGTAACTCTAATGAATTTATCCTCTGCAGCAGAGGTAACTCTGGGTCTTCCTTTCCTGTGGCGGTCCTCGTGAGAGCCAGTTTCATCATAGCGCTTGATGGTTTTTGCAACTGTACTTGAAGAAACTTTCAAAGTTCTTGACATTTTCCGGATTGACTGACCTTCATGTCTTAAAGTAATGATGGACTGTCAATTCTCTTTGCTTATTTGAGCTGTTCTTGTCATAATATAGACTTAGTCTTTTACCAAATAAGGCTATCTTCTGTATACCACCCCTACCTTGTCACAACACAACTGATTGGCTGAAACACATTAAGAAGGAAAGAAATTCCACAAATGAACTTTTAACAAGGCACACCTGTTAATTGAAATGCATTCCAGGTGACTACCTCATGAAGCTGGTTGAGAGAATACCAAGAGTGTGCAAAGCTGTCATCAAGGCAAAGGGTGGCTACTTTGAAGAATCTCAAATATAAAATATATTTTGATTTGTTTAACACTTTTTTGGTTACTACATGATTCCATATGTGTTATTTCATAGTTCTGATGTCTTCACTATTATCCTACAATGTAAAACATAGTAAAAATAAAGAAAAACCCTGGAATGAGTAGGTGTGTCCAAACTGGTTTTGACTGGTACTGTGTGTATGTGTGTGTGTGTGTGTGTATGTGTGTGTGTGTGTGTGTGTGTGTGTGTATATGTGTGTGTGTGTGTGTGTGTGTGTGTGTGTGTGTGTGTGTGTGTGTGTGTGCGTGTGTGTGTGTGTGCCATCTATAACTACAACCACTACTATCCTCTCAGTACTATGGCATTCTTACCCCTGCTCAGACCCTTATCCCAGAGAGAGAGAGAGTTAGGTGGAGGGAGGCAGACTTCCCCCATAGAAGGCCTGTAGAATACCATGAGCTGACCTTCCTGCTTCACAGAGGACACAGGTAATGAATATTGACGCAAGCGGATGACCCATACTGTAGATACAGCATGGTACTGGAGATACCATCTCTCACCCTTTCTCCCGCTCTATCATCCCCCTCTCCCTCCCACCTTCCCACATTCCAGACATGCCTTAGGGAGATAAAGGCCTCCAGGACAGTTACACAACAAAGCAGCAGCAGCTATTGTCTGTCAGGACTGAGAGGAGGGGCTTGGGTGTAAGCATGCCAAAGGAGATAGCCCCACTGCTCTCCTCATCTCTCTCAGACCACACACACACACACTAACACACACACACACACACACACACACACACACACACACACACACACACAACAGACAAATAGACAAACTCAAGCACACACAAATTTAAACAAGAGTGACTCAAAAGTGCTGACCTCAATAGGCAACAAACAGTGTGTGTCAGATTTGACAAGATTCCAGCATCCTCTATAACCACATAGCTTCAGCGCTCTTCACACCTACCCAAAAGCTGACAATCAACTATAAAACATTAATCCGAAGGAACATTCTCTATGCCTGGTTGAAATCATGTAAAAAACAACTCCAATATGCAGCCTGTCAACCTGCCAGTGCCAGACCTGGATGTAGCTTGTGGATCTGAAATCCTGCAGCGGCGAGTCATATGACACTGCAACAGCATCCTCTGCTGGGCGAAACTCAAAATCACCAATACAAAATATCCATCTAATAGTCATGTCTTGTTTCCTGCCACCTCCACATACTCACAGGCCTTAGACCAGGGGAGGACAACAGGGGCTCCAGGGTTTTATTTTGCTCCAGCCCAGATCTAACACACCTGATTGTGGTCCTCTGTAGCTCAATTGGTAGAGCATGGCGCTTGTAACGCCAGGGTAGTGGGTTCGATCCCCGGGACCACCCATACGTAAAAATGTATGCACATATGACTGTAAGTCGCTTTGGATAAAAGCGTCTGCTAAATGGCATATTATTATATTATTAAACGTATCAACTAATCAGTGTGTTCAATTTAGCTGTGTTAGTGCTGGTCCCTCCCAGACTGGAGCTGCCCAGCCCTGCAGTGCTTTTCCATGCTCCTCCAGCTATCAGGAGTCAGGAGTCAGGCTGCAGCACATAGCTTAGTGCCACATTACCCCACTAATCTCTCCTTATTCCAGAATTCCTGCACACACATGCACACACACATAATATTCCCCAAGTCCACCTGACACAGATAACTGTCGGATTACCGCATGACACAATCCTCAGAGATCACAGAGAAAGCAGGAAAACATGGCAGTGAACGTGTTCAACAACCCACACACACACAGCAGGGGTGGGAGTCTTTTAGAACCTGGAGTCCGGAGATATATTGTGCTGTTGCAATTATTGCCCATATAAATATTATCTGCGAAAACAACAATAGCACAGGCCTAGTGACCCACAACCTCTTTCCGTGTATGAGGGATCTTCATGCACGACTTCATACAATATCTTGCTTGATTTGTCCCACCATGACTGACATCCTCACAACTGACATGCTTCCATGCTTCATCCTACACCATCCAACACCAAGTCACAGAAATTGCACACACACACACACACACACACACACGCCTGCATACATACACACGCACGCACGCACATGCACACAGATGAGTAAAGTCTCCACTCACTGAGGTGTAGGCGGTCTTTCCCAGGCTGTGGTTGTGATTGAGGTTCTGGTTCTCCAGCTCTCTGCTCTGCAGCCCCGCCAGGTGTCTCTCCAGAGCTGCCCAGTCCATGGTGGGCAGGGACTCTTCCTCCACAATCTCCTCCTCTCTGTATCCACCCATCCGTCCTCCTATTCCCCCTCCTCCTCCACCACCACCACCTCCTCCAACGCCACCTCTGCCCCGGCTGGAGCGCCTGTGGCTGGGCTTGGTGGCCCCCGTGCCCCTGGGTAGGGGCCTGGTAGGGGAATGGGGCAGAATCAGGTTGCCATTCTGTTTCAGTTCCTCAGGCACGGCAGCAGCGAAGGTGGCTGTGTGTCCACTGTGAGTAGGAAGGGGTGGAGGCTTCACATCCTGGAACTCCTCGGCCAGGCTGCGGCTGTTCACTGGCTTCCTGAAGCCTCCGCCTGGTGCACCTATCCCCCCCACAACTCCACCCTCCTCCTGGCCAGGGGGCTGCTGGGAGCTGTAGTCGTCCCCGTACTCGCTCTTCCACTCCTCGATCACCTTCTTCTTGTACTCCTGGTAGTCCTCATCCTCCTCATAGTCCTCATCCTCCAGGGTTGCCAGATTCAGGTAGGGAGAGGATTTGTAGTCCCCTTCTAAGGTTGCCAGTTCCAGTGATGGGGAGGACTTGTAGTCCTCCAGGCATGCCAGGTCTAAGGAGGGAGAACAGGGCGTCACCTTGTTGGAGTTGGACTCGGAGCTGGAGCGACTGGAGGCGTCGCTCCCCAAGTCCATGCCATCCTCCCGGTAGTCCTGCAGCGGAGAGAGAAAGAGGGATGGAGAGAAAGGAGGGAGCGAGGAGGAATGGAGAAAAATAGATATAAATAGAGGTAAGAAATAATGAGAGGTGAAAAGAGAAATTATGATGGTGAGATAAAGATAGAGGTTGAAAGAGAGAGAGGGAGGGGGGGGGGAGAGGAAGAGAGACACACAAACAGAGAATTTAGGGAAGTGTGCACACAGAGATTACTGTTGTGGTTTGAGACCAACAACCACAGAACACTTCCTTCCCCGGTAGAACTTCCTTCCTCTACATTCATTTCCTTGGCACCGTTTCAGTCCCTCTCTGACGCACTCTCTCCTCTCCTCCCTGAGACAACCTCTCCTCTCCTACCAGACGCACTCTCTCCTCTCCTCACTGAGACAACCTCTCCTATACTCCCAGACTGACTCTCTCCTCCTTCTGTTTGTTCATATCTAAGGTTTGCATTGTAACAGCTGAGCCAGAGAGAGAGAGAGAGAGAGAGAGAGCTGTGATTTCTCCTATCATCACACATTACACACATCTTCTCAAAGTTTCCCATTTCAGATTGTTAAATCAGAGGCAGATGCTGTCACAATGTATTTCCTTATCTGTGTCTTTGGCAAAGTCATCCCAACAATAATGGTAAATGTAAGGAATACCAATCTCTTTCTCCAATCGTCCAGAGATGAATGACACTGGCTGCCATTGTGCCATGGCTCTATATATAACATACAGTTGAAGTTGGAAGTTTACACACACCTTAGCCAAATACATTTAAACTCAGTTTTTCACAATTCCTGACATTTAATCCTAGTAAACAATCCCTGTCTTAGGTCAGTTAGGATCACCACTTTATTTTAAGAATAAGAAATGTCAGAATAATAGTAGAGAGAATGATTTATTTCAGCTTTTATTTAGTTCATCACATTCCCAGTGGGTCAGAAGTTCACATACACTCAATTAGTATTTGGTAGCATTGCCTTTAAACTGTTTAACTTGGGTCAAACGCTTCGGGTAGCCTTCCACAAGCATCCCACAATAAGTTGGGTGAATTTTGGCCCATTCCTCCTAACAGAGCTGGTGTAACTGAGTCAGGTTTGTAGGCCTCCTTGCTCGCACACGCTTTTTCAGTTCTGCCCACAAATGTTCTATAGGATTGAGGTCAGGGCTTTGTGATGGCCACTCCAATACCATGACTTTGTTGTCCTTAAGGCATTTTGCCACAACTTTGGAAGTATGCTTGGGGTCATTGTCCATTTGGAAGACCCATTTGCAACCAAGCTTTAACTTCCTGACTGATGTCTTGAGAGGTTGCTTCAATATATCCACATAATATTCCTTCCTCATGATGCCATCTATTTTGTGAAGTGCACCAGTCCCTCCTGCAGCAAAGCACCCCCACATCATGATGCTACCACCCCCGTTCTTCACGGTTGGGATGGTGTTCTTCGGCTTGCAAGCCTGCCCCTTTTTCCTCCAAACATAACGATGGTCATTATGGCCAAACAGTTCTATTTTTGTTTCATCAGACCAGAGGACATTTCTCCAAAAAGTAAGATCTTTGTCCCCATGTGCAGCTGCAAACCGTAGTCTGGCTTTTTTATGGCTGTTTTGGAGCAGCGGCTTCTTCCTTGCTGAGCGGCCTTTCAGGTTATGTAGATATAGGACTCGTTTTACTGTGGATATAGATACTTTTGTACCTGTTTCCTCCAGCATCTTCACAAGGTCCTTTGCTGTTGTTCTGGGATTGATTTGCACTTTTTGCACCAAAGTACGTTCATCTCTACAGAACGCGTCTCCTTCCTGAGCGGTATGACGGCTGCATGGTCCCATGGTGTTTATACTTGCATACTATTGTTTGTACAGATGAACGTGGTACCTTCAGGCGTTTGAAATTCCAGACTTGTGGAGGTCTACAATTTTTTTTCTGAGGTCTTGGCTGATTTCTTTTGATTTTCCCATGATATCAGCAAAGAGGCACTGAGTTTGAAGGTAGGCCTTGAAATACATCCACAGGTACACCTCCAATTGACTCAAATTATGTCAATTAGCCTATCAGAAGCTTCTAAAGCCATGACATCATTTTCTGGAATTTTCCATGCTGTTTAAAGGCACAGTCAACTTAGTGTATGTAAACTTCTGACCCACTGGAATTGTGATACAGTGAATTATAAGTGAAATAATCTGTCTGTAAACAATTGTTGGAAAAATTACTTGTGTCATGCACAAAGTAGATGTCCTAACCGACTTGCCAAAACTATAGTCTGTTAACAAGAAATGTGTGGAGTGGTTGAAAAACGAGTTTTAATGACTCCAACCTAAGTGTATGTAAACTTCCGACTTCAACTGTACATTGCAGTGGCTGTGAGTGACTTAAACAGATGAGTCCAGGGTGGCTGTCTAACCTTGACTGTCTGCAGTGTGAGGCCACAGTGTGTGTTGTCCAGTGCCAGAGCAATCACTGTCTGATTGATTACCAACTTAATGAAAATGCCTGCCTTGTTTATGGACCTCCACAAATCTCAGCGTGACCTGAACCTCTTTGAGTGTTTTCACCTCTTTTTTTAATCGGCTGCATTAACATAGTGCCTGGCATCACTTTTAAAAGTTAATGAAAAACAAGCAGCAGCAGCTTATTCAGAGTCACAACCAGAAAAACGTATTGTTATGCATCCAACACACTAAGACTGATTAATTGATGATGTTTATTGTCCTTCATGAGGATTTTTTTTCTTGTGGCCTGTTAATTTTTAAATACACCAAAGACGGGGGTTCACAAAGTCTTGATTAAATGATTGTCATACATTTTAATAAAAATTGGCAAACCCTGACATTAAAAACAATCAATACAACCACCAACATAGACAAGCACCTCACCAGTAACACTTTACCCCCCCAACCACATTTGGTAAGACTTATCTTAAAGGGATACTTAGCGTGCTAGCAGACACCCATAGACTTCCAATCATTGCGCTAAAGCTAGTTAGCGTTGACTCGCGAAACTACCTCTAACTTCCTTCATACTGGACACATAAAAATGGTATCCACTAGTTCATCTTTAAGGTCTGCTTATAACTACGTAATAACGGTTAATATGCAGTTTATATGCAGACCTGCAGATGAAATGATAACAGCACCACATCCATACACATCACACCTAACTTTATGTCTGTGTCATCATTGTGATGTTAGTCGCCAGCTGAATTAGTCTACCCAGTGATTCAAAGCTGTGACTCAACTCCTTAGATGTTCAATTTATTGAGGCAGTGCAACTATACAGAACACAACTTCATTCAGAATTAAGAAACTTTTTTTTTTATGGAACATGGACCATTGTTCCATCCAGGGACTTGGATTTAAATACAATTTCTGTATCTTTATAATTATTTGCACATTCTAGGCAATAACCATACAAGCTCTTTATAGCAAAGATCCTTGATTGATAGATTATTATTTTTCATTCTGACACCCTCTCCCTCCATCCACCGGGACTGCTATTTAATTTATTCTCCCAGACCCAGACAAACCAGTATAATCTGGAGGGGGTCAGGCTGGCAACAGTCGAGCAGCTGGCTCACTATAACTCGCACTCTCGCAAAATGGCAATGTTTCGTTACATTGATTTTATATTGTAAATGTGGACTATTTTAATAAGGACAACATCTGAAAAGGCGGTTGACACACCGGTTCATAGCTCGCACCTAGTGTCAATGTCATAGTAGGGTAGTTGACGTATAGGAGGGGTGCATCCTGCACCTCCCCCATATCCCCAAGTCCAGTCACGTTTATGATTAAGATTCGAGATCGAATGTTGTGTAGCCTACATGCGACATATCGCCTACATGAGGTCACGAATCCATGCGCAGACGTTCAAAGAGTGGTGCGCGTTCTTTACAATATGGGTATAATGTAGCAAACCTTACCAAAATGCTCATCAAAAACTTTCAGTGTTCCATCCGGACGCTGATATTCGAAATTCTGCCTGCCATTCCAAGATTATTCAAGGACGATTTATATTAGCCTATTCTGTACATTGTAACTAAGAAGCTATATATGGCGTGTTTCCTTTAATCTCCAGCCATTAAAGCAGGCTACCACCGTAGCCTATAGTGGGGAAGCCGTGGGAATCCGTTTTAAATCTCAACCTGTGAGTCGTTAAAAGGGCAACGGCTCCATTGGTGGGAAAGAGTGTAGCGTAGCCTGTATAATAATAACAGCTCTAGGCCTATCAAACACTTCCAGTTCCTGTATTATCATATTAATATTATTTTTTTGCGTCGGTTCGTTTGAGTCCGTGTAAAATGTGTGGCCTTATTATTTAAAGTGATTCAGAAGGAGAGAAATCCCGTCAAGACAGCCGGGCGGGGGAGCGGTGGGGCCCGCTTTGGTTGATCCTCTCTCCGATTAACCTCGCAGCCTACACTGGGTGGATTTGGCCATACAATACATGCAAATTGACAGCTGCGCGGAACCCCACCCCGACAGCGAGGCGGGTGTTTTGGGTTTAATTCGTGTCTTGGAGGGGACACTGGCCACAATAATAAACCCCTGTCATTTTTATGTAATTTTGAATAAGCTACAACACCAGTTTTGCACTTGCTTATTAGTCTAAGTGGGCAATACATTTAACGCCCATGCCTGTTCTCCCAACATCAGGGTGTCATTTAGGCTACCCAAACCTCTGCTCTGTGCAATAGCCTACCCGCTGTGGTAAAGTGTGTTCAGTCGATGCCAATTAATACAAACCTTTAATGCAGGTAAATACTGTATCAACTTCATAAACAGATAGAGTGCATATAGCCATATGCAGAGTCATTCATCCTCAAATGATGTAATGTTCCTAAAAAAAAGTCACGGGAAAACCTAATATCCTCAGCAACAGCGATGACAGAACCATCCAATTTCACACCGCAGATGACAACCCAAATAACAACACCACACTGATGACAGGGTTCCTATCAATAGACCACACCGCACTACATATCAATATAAAAGGTTTACCCCTCCATGGTTAGGCTGTTATAGGCTTTGAATAAGAGCCTATTTCCTATAATAAACCAGCCCAGGCACACACAGTAATAATGATAGCCTACTAACCTGCAAACGCCCTATAGTAAAATGTCTGAATGACAGAAAACAGCCTATTCTAAATAAATATATTATGACCGATGACCTACAGAAGACATAAAAGAAGGTAATGCAAATAGCCCAGTCTATGGGTTGCATAGTCATAACGACAAACGTAGCACCAATACTTACTGTCATTTTCTCTGTAAGATCTCTTGTCTCAAGACATCTTAAAGTCAATACCAGACAACAATTGGATCTTTATTTGTCAGTACACTTGGGAGACGGTGAGGATATTATCCGCTATCCGGAGATATTACAGAAAGCCGGTAGATTGTTGAGAGCGTATGCCAGTCCAGTCATTGCTCTATGTGTATCCGCCGCGGAGCCCAACCCTTGAGTCCTCCCGAGGCTCAGTAAAAAAAAGACACGTTCCCAGATCGCCGCTCCTCTCTTCTCTCCCGGTACAGATGTCAAACGTCTCTTCTACCGTTCAGCGCATGCACGCACAGGCTCACAGAGTGATTGGCGAGAGAATGTGAATGTGTATTTCTCTCTGCCCGTTTTTATCGTCCGCACAAGTCAGCCTCGCACATATATCTGCTTTCCAGTCCATTCAACTAAACGCTCACACACATGCAAATAAGCTCCCTGCCACAGCGGCGTCTCAACTTCTCCAGCGCTCTATCGCAGCAGGCTGCTCTATGGACAAACTGACGACAGAACAGTAGCCCTGCCTTCTGCACTCACTGAACTTGCGAATGGTATATTGAGGGAAAGAGACAGATAGAGCGAAACAGAGGCAGAGAGGGATAAATAAACAGTATATATAGAGAGAGTGCTAGAGAGAGAGAGAGAGAGAGAGAGAGAGAGAGAGAGAGAGAGAGAGAGAGAGAGAGAGAGAGGAGAGAGAGAGAGAGAGAGAGAGAGAGAGAAAGAGCCCAACACTATATCAAGTTGAATAATTCAAGATGCCCTGGTGTTCTGAATAGGTTTGCAACAGTTTCTGTCACACTGTGAATACATAAGCTATAAGCAGCCTGGACATCTCAAGGATACCGCTGTCATGTCCTTTGTAATTGAAGTTACTTGACTTTTCACAAGTGCCTTGACTTGATTGAAGTGCTATGTTGATGATCATAAAGATAAATCAAGTCTTCTGGACAGAGCATGTTTTGGCCCAGAGGGTTGTGGTCTGTTTTGTTACCAAGCTCTGGTCACAGTCTTTTGGCCAGACTGCCATGCAGTAGGGTGGCACTGGGCAGCACTGTCCACATAATTCACTGGGTGTGTCTCAAAGTACACCCTATTCCATATTGTGCAGTACTTTTGGCTAGAGACCTCTGACATCTCATTCACTTTTGGCCAAGGCCTATTCTCCATATAATGCACTACCTACAGTATATCCAAAAGTAGTGCAGAATACCCACTTGGCAAAAACTGGTTGAATCAATATTATTTCCAAGTCATTTCAATCCCCAAAATCAATGTGATGACATTGAATCAACGTGGAAAACTAATTGGATTTGCAAAAAGTCATCAACGTAAGGGCATTTAGTCTTTTTTTCACCCAACTTTTAACCTAAATCCAATGACATAGTGAAATGTTTTGTTGATTTCACATTGAGTTCACGTTAGTTGACAACTCAGTAGTTGAACTGACGTCTGTGCCCAGTGGGTAGGATGTAATCTGAGATTGACCACTGTTGAATTCACTCCATGCACATATGGACAGCTGCACTCACAGGGTTGAGACAAGGTTAACACAAACAACGTATGTTATTCCTCTGACATGTTTTATGATTGGTACATCTGGTAATATACACTGAACAAAAATATAAACGCAACATGTAAAGTGTTGGTCCCACGGTTCATGAGCTAAAATAAAAAATCCCAGACATTTTCCATACACACAAAAAGCTTATTTCTCTCAAATATTGTGCACAGATTTGTTTACATTACATTACATCCCTGTTAGTGAGCATTTCTCATTTGCCAAGATACTACATCCACCTGACAGGTATGGCATATCAAGAAGCTGATTAAACAGCATGATTATTACACAGGTGCACCTTGTGCTGGGGACAATAAACGGCCACTTTAAAATGTGCAGTTTTGTCACACAACACAATGCCACAGATGTCTCAAGTTTTGAGGGAGCATGCAATTGGCATGCTGACTGCAGGAATGTCCACCAGAGCTGTTGCCAGAAAATTGAATGTTAATTTCTCTACCATAAGATGCCTCCAACGTTGTTTTAGAAAATTTGGCAGTACGTCCAACCGGCCTCACAACCGCAGACCACGTGTAACCACGCCCCACATCAGGCTTCTTCACCTTGCGGGATCATCTTAGGGGGGTCGGGGGGGATGCTGAGGAGTATTTCTGTCTGTAATAAAGCCCTTTTGTGGGGAAAAACTAATTGTGGGTGGGCCTGGCTGCCAAGTGGGTGGGCCTATGCCCTCCAAGGCCCACCCATGACTGCACCCCTGCCCAGTCATGTGAAATCCATAGATTAGGGCCTAATGAATGTATTTAAATTGACTGATTTCCTTATATTAACTGTAACTCAGTACAATCTTTAAAATTGTTGCATGTTGCGTTTATATTTCTGTTCAGTACAGCATTTTCAGACATGGGTATCAAACTAAGACTTACAGCATTACAACCACCTATAACACACGTACACCGCACGGTCTAGATTTAAACCTCTAAACATAGTTTATTGAAGGAGGATGGGAACGGAGCAGTGTACAGATATATACATATATAATAGCAGCACCAAGGATTATGTCCTGGTAATGAAAGAGCACTACTTCAAAGACCCCTCACTGAGACACTCTCCTCACTACAGAGGGGACACCACCATCAGGGATCTCCCCAAAGAGAGAGGCAACAGGGCCCTATCCCTATCTCCGCCTCACACCCCCCATTCCCATATTTCCCACTTCTCATCAGACAAATCCCCCAAATACCAATTTGGTCACAGAGGCAGAGTGAGCTACCAGATAGTTAAATACCTTTAGGGAAGCTGAGACACTTTTGGGTTCCTCATCTAGTGAGGAACGTGACGTGGGTGAGTTAACACTCTCACCAGGCAATTAGCTTGTCAACAGGAGGCTAATGTAGTGTGTTTTAGTCGTCTACGTACCCCCACACCCTCAACTGCGGTACACAACCTTTTTGAAGTTCCTTTATTACCTCCCTTCAAGTAAAGGCCACAGCAATTCTTTTATCCACATTTTCTCTCCGGCCTTTACAAATTGGATCAGAAACATATTTGAAGCGTCAGAGAAGATCTCAAACGACATGATAGAGATGTCCATGTCAGTTCACTCAGAAGGCTTTTGATCGATGTCTTCAACCAACCTTTAAAAGAAGACCGTATTGCAGATTACTTTTACTGTACTTTTTGATTTAGGACAGGTGGTCAAAAGAAGTTCACCAGTCAACATCATACAGTACGGTTCACCCCAGGCACCTTCAATCAACAAACTCTGTTGTGTTTCTCTCACTGTGCCCTGCAGTGCCAATGAACAGTGAGGTGGCTATGAAACTGCCAGCCAACAGGCATCACCTGTCATATGGGCACTCGGAGGGGCACAGAACTCATCCCAGATCAACCTGGAACTGCCTATCTGCCAATCACCCAGAGCTGGGCAGCATGGTGAAGCTATCCATATGACAGATATCACTGAGGTCCTATTACTGACAGAAAGATAAGGGCTAGAAAAACCCTTTCAGATAATACTTGAAAAACAGGGAACATATTCCTCTGCTTATGTCCGTCTCACAGGCGTTTAAAAAACAGGCCGCCTGACATTCGGTGAGAAATGGAAGCTGTCTGCCTCGTCAGGAACTCACCCACTCTGACAGAGGAATACAGACAGTGACCTTGGAGGCTTCCACACAGGGAGAACTGTCTCTCTCTCTTTTTATTTCATGGCAGAACAGCAGGAATAAAAAGAACACCCTTGAAATAAGACTCGAGTTGAACCACACAACAGAAAATGAACCGTAAAAAAACAGGACTGGACATGGCTGTGGTACAACCTTCAAGCCTTGAGTGGGTAAATGACCCGTTAGGTTAGGAGACACTAAATCCCACATGGGGACTCTAACAACCCTCTCCTCTCAGGTCACCATCTCATGCCATGTCTTGTCAGGTGGATGGGTAAAAAAAATCCAGACCTGGGACTGCTACAGAGCGACCGTCCCCAGATACCAGATACCAACTTTCTGTACCCCAAGATACCAAATACCAAAACCTTATGGGAGCATTGGGAGAGGGAGACAGGCTATCATTGATGAATAGGGATGTCAGATGTCCACAATGGAGATCTGACCTTTGACTGGCTAAATTACTCACTGGTACTGAATATCAACCGGGTATGTGAATGGGAAGGACAGGTATTCAGCCTAACAATGTAGTATGACAATTGCCTCTGTGTCAAAACGGTGTGAGTTTAGAGAAACGGGTAGGATGTGTGTGTGTGTGTGTTTCATGTTGTTTCATGCAGAATGTGTTAACTGAGGAAAGCTGCTTACATTTAGGTTGATGATTAACACCTGATTCTATCATTGTACCCTTTGATATGATGAACAACGTCCGTTAACGAAGTGTGAAATGAGTTGCTAGAAAAACATAAAGTCGCATGTTTTTCCCCCCGAACAGCGTAGAAAGCCATTCATTAGATTCATTTCGATGATAAGCACATCAGACTCCTAACTGGAGCCTATCTGTGGAGTGTTCTTTCCTGGGTGAAATATAATTGGAATGCTGAGTTTGTGTAATGTGTCTTTGTTTTAATAGGAGTGAATCAGTCACCCAGCCATAGATAGAGCCATTCACATTGCTCCACATTTATCAAGTGTCTTCAGACCTTATAAACCCATTATAGAATGGACGTGTCTATCTGCAGTTCTGCACTGCTACCAGCCTACAGAGGACAGACAGGGGATAATACGAGGGGAGGAAGGAGTAGAATTAATGTGAAATGATGAAGATGACGCAAGAATGGCACATTACAATTTTTGAATTTGAATTTCAGTTTATCTCCTCAATTGACTGAGAGGAAATATAATTTACCTTTACCCTGCTCCGTAGGGATACAGCCGGTGAAGTTTTAGAGAGTTTGCTTATTAACTTCATGAGCTATAATTATAAGTTGTGACTAGAGTCATCAGTGTAACAGGAGAAATCAGGATCGCTGCAGGAGCAGAAGATGGAAGCCCACTTCAGGCTGATTACATCAAACTGAAGGCTGCTGCTAATTAGAGGGAAGGCAGGGGATGGTAATCAACTAAAGTAGCCCAGCCAGGAGAGGCCTCCTGTGGGAGGGGGAGAAATTTAGGCCCAGGTGTGACACTCTGGCTCTAGGACTTGTATTAGGTGAGCCAGGGTGTATCTCATTTGGTGGTGTTGGGCATGGGTGAGTTTCATTTGTTTGTGTTTTGTTGATTGGTCTATGACTCCCAATCGGAGGTAACGAGTGTCAGCTTTCGGCTCGTTATCTCTGATTGGGAGCCATATATATTCTGTGTGTTTTTTCCTTTGTTTTGTGGGTTATTGTTTCTGTTAGTCTGTATCAGTATTTTGAACTTCACGTATCGTCATTTGTTGTTTTCTTCGTGGTTGCTTTATTAATAAAGTCATCATGTTCACTCCACGCGCTGCGTATTGGTCCGCTCCTTCAGACGATCGTGACAGAATAACCCACCATAAAAGGACCAAGCAGCGTAACAAGCGGCAACAGGACCTACCTACACAGGAGTTATGGACGCCTCCTAAGGATTTTTGGACATGGGAGGAGATTCGGGCTGGAAAGGGTCCTTGGGCACAACCGGAGGAATATCACCGCCCTCGTGAAGAGCTGGAGGCAGCCAAAGCCGAGAGGAGGTGGTACGAGGAGGCAGCGCGAAGGCGAGGCTGGAAGCCCGTGGAAGAGAGGCAACCCCAAGAAATTTTTTTGGGGGGGCACATGGCTTGGTCGACGGAGCAGCAGGAGGCTGCCACAGGGAGAAAAGGAGAGAAGGCTAACGGAGTACGGGAGTCATTGGCGAGTAGAAGGAGGGAAGTTGTTGTGGCACGGCATGAGAGACTGAAGTGTGTTACCAGTCCGGTCCGGCCCGTTCCTGATCCCCAGTTAAGGCCAGTGGTGTGTGTTCCCGGTACGGACCGGCCTGTTCCTACTCCACGCACCAGGTCCACGATGTGCGTCGCCAGCCGGCCTGAACTGGCCGTCTGCCCAACGGCGCCTGAACTGCCCGTCTGCCATGAGCCTTCAGAGCCGTCCGCCAGGCAGGAGCCGCTAGAGCCTTCCGCCAGACAGAATCATACACCTGCTATGGAATCAGCAGGAGCCGACGCAGCCCATACTAGACTGGAAGCTCAGGTTCGGGACCAGAAAGAGCAGCTCCTGCAGATGGGAGCCGCCCTGCTGGAGGTGATGACTGCAATCCGAGGCTGGGGTCCGCCTCCACCGCCAGCCGCCCAGCCAGCACCATCAGCCAGCCATGAGCAGCCAGATCTGTCAACCAGCCATGAGCAGCCAGATCCGTCAGCCAGCCATGAGCAGCCAGATCCGTCAGCCAGCCATGAGCAGCCAGATCCGTCAGCCAGCCATGAGCAGCCAGATCCGTCAGCCAGCCATGAGCAGCCAGATCCGTCAGCCAGCCATGAGCAGCCAGACCCGTCAGCCAGCCATGAGCAGCCAGATCCGTCAGCCAGCCATGAGCAGCCAGATCCGTCAGCCAGCCAGGATCCTCCAGAGCCGTCCAGCCAGGATCCGCCAGAGCCGTCCAGCCAGGATCCGCCAGAGCCGTCTAGCCAGGATCCGCCAGAGCCGTCCAGCAAGGATCCGCCAGAGCTGTCCAGCCAGGATCCGCCAGAGCCGTCCAGCCAGGATCCGCCAGAGCCGTCCAGCCAGGATCCGCCAGAGCCGTCCAGCCTGGATCCGCCAGAGCCGTCCAGCCTGGATCCGCCAGAGCCGTCCAGCCTGGATCCGCCAGAGCCGTCCCGCCGGGATCCGCCAGAGCCGTCCAGCCGGGATCCGCCAGAGCCGTCCAGCCGGGATCCGCCAGAGCCGTCCAGCCGGGATCCGCCAGAGCCGTCCAGCCGGGATCCGCCAGAGCCGTCCAGCCGGGATCCGCCAGAGCCGTCCAGCCGGGATCCGCCAGAGCCGTCCAGCCGGGATCCGCCAGAGCCGTCCAGCCGGGATCCGCCAGAGCCGTCCAGCCGGGATCCGCCAGAGCCGTCCAGCCGGGATCCGCCAGAGCCGACCAGCCGGGATCCGCCATTCAGCCCGGTGCTGCCCCTTAGCCCGGTGCTGCCCCTTATCCCGGTGCTGCCCCTTAGGCCGGTGCTGCCCCTTAGGCCGATGCTGCCCCTTAGTCCGGTGTTGCCCCTTAGTCCAGGTGGGGTTAGTTGGAGGGTGGTCATTGGGAGGAGGTTACCGAAGCAGGTTGTGACTGTGGTGGGGTGGGGACCACGACCAGGGGCAGAACCGCCACCGTGGACAGACGCCCACCCAGACCCTCCCCTAGACTGTGGGCTGGTGCGCCCGGAGTTCGCACCTTTAGGGGGGGGTACTGTGACACTCTGGCTCTAGGACTTGTATTAGGTGAGCCAGGGTGTATCTCATTTGGTGGTGTTGGGCATGGGTGAGTTTCATTTGTTTGTGTTTTGTTGATTGGTCTATGACTCCCAATCGGAGGTAACGAGTGTCAGCTTTCGGCTCGTTATCTCTGATTGGGAGCCATATATATTCTGTGTGTTTTTTCCTTTGTTTTGTGGGTTATTGTTTCTGTGTTGCTGTTAGTCTGTATCAGTATTTTGAACTTCACGTATCGTCATTTGTTGTTTTCTTCGTGGTTGCTTTATTAATAAAGTCATCATGTTCACTCCACGCGCTGCGTATTGGTCCGCTCCTTCAGACGATCGTGACACCAGGTCTGCGTGGTCCCCCAGGCCCTTTAACCCCTGTGCCAAAGTGGAGAGAACTCAAAGTTTATGTTTAGGGTCATGATACTTCTCAGTCTAACATCCTCTAGCCTGCCTCTCCTCCTTCCCTCTCTCATTGTCTCTCTTTTATACCTCATAGTTAGAATAGTCAGAACAGTATCTCAATTATTTCCTCAAAGTCTGAGACTCACTCTCACTCTATCAACTAGGGTTGCAAAGGGAGAGTATATTACTGGAAACTTTGAAAGTTTAACAGTAAACTACCAGAATTTTGGTATCTTTCAAGGATTTTATGTAATCTATCACAAGACATCTAATGGCCCATTTGGGTATTTCAGATTATCACAAGTGTCTGTAATCATCTCTCGCCCTTCTGTGCGACCTTATCACATGTACAATATTTGAAATAATTAAATAACATGATTTAAAAATATATATATAGAATGACAAAGCTGTAAAACATTATCCTAAATATAAACCATCAATTTAGTGAATACCATTGGTGTTTAATATGAGGGTTTCAGCATGAAATATCATTTTTATTCATTGTACTATGTCAATATGTATTTGTTGTCAATATTTTCGCAACAAACTAGTGGCAGTTGTGAAAAAAGTCAATAGTTGGAAGAGTTGCAGAGTTAATTGAAAATAATGCCATTGTTGAATAGATGCTTTTATCAGTAATTAGGCTATTTTCTCTTGAACCATATGGTCTATCTACTAGAAATTCATGGACAATATAGACACCGATATAATAAATTAATACTATATATATGAATTCATTTTTTTCAAGTTATTCAAGTATAAATTACCAAAGTTACGATAGATTGACATAGATTTTCTGTTAATTACCAAAATTCCATTAACTTTGGTAAATTACCGGTGGCTTTGCAACCCTAATCTCAACACCTACACATTTATATTGCCATGGCTTCTCTCTTGAGATCCTTCCCTTTTCTGCAACAAGGCATAAAAAACAGCCAGCACAGCAGTTAAAGGACTAGTTCACTATTTTACAACTTGATGTTAGATGGTTTCTTACCCTGAAAGTAGTCTATGGACCAGGAGAAACTGTAATTCATGGTTCAGTTTTCTTTAAACAGCCATTACAAACTTAAGCTAACTTTATCCACCACTACCTACAAATCTATGGAAGTGACGGGGGCATGTGAGCATGTTTTGAAAAATGATGTTAAAATCACCTGAAATCAATTACATATTTGATTTGATGTTACGTAAAGGTGATTTGGCCATAAGAAAAAAAACATGCTCACATGCCACCATCACTTTAATAGATTTTTAGCTAGCAGTGGCTAAAGTTAGTAATGGCTGTATAAAGAAAACTGAACCATGGATTACAGTTTCTCCTGTAAATCAGAGAGAGCAACTGTGAGACTCAGACTGTGTCTAGTCCCTCAGCTGGCTGGGCTGGCATGCATCCATGCCCGTCTCTGTCTCTGTGCCCTGTCAGCACTACAGCTAGTGAGAGGCGCAGTTGTCTGCCCGACGTACACACAATTTATTGCCCACAAAAAATGTGAACATCTCAGGCGCTTTAAGCATGCAACGCTCCTTCTATTCTCCACCTTCGCCGTAAACGACTAAATGCAGAGAGTGCAGGGGGAGAGGAAGAGGAGATTGATTTAGAGAGGGAATAAAAAGATAGAGAGAGAGAGAGAGAAACATGAAGGGGGAGGAAGTGAGGAAGGCAGTCTGTGTCTGCGACTGAGGTGTGTTGTTGCGCCACGTTGAAATTACCCCCCTGAACACAGATCTAGAATCGGATTACCCTCCCAACAATCTTAACCTGAACCATTAGAGGGTTAAACACACAGCTGACTTCAGATCAGATCATAGGTGACAACTCCATTACACCTGAGTGGGTGGAGAAGGTGACAGGCTGTAGACAAGGTTTGTGCGACATCATGACGACAGCAGGGCCCTGGAAGGTGGCAGAACGCTGTCCAGACCAATTATTCATTGTTCGGAGTCGCCAGAAACCACTCTGTCCCGCTTCACACACTCACACAAATCCTCATAACTCAACTACATATCTGACAGACGGACTGAGAGAGGGAGAGGAGAGAAGCGAGATGGAGGGAAGAGAGAGAGAGAGGAGGGGGGGATAGAAAATGAGAGGGAAATAAGGAGAGCTAAAGAGTGAAAAGGGAAGACAAGAAAGAGAGGGAGGAACAATAAGAGAGAGAGAGAGAGAGAGAGAGAGAGAGAGAGAGAGAGAGAGAGAGAGTGAGGAATGGAGGAAGACTGTATCAGGGTCCTTGGCTATAGGCCACATGATTACAACAGAGGGCTGGGGGGATGATTGCATTATGAGCCTTGCATCTACCCTCAATCATCATACATATTGACATATTCATTGATGCTTATGTTATTGTACTGTATTACTGTAGGTGCATGCAAGACAGGACACTAAGCAGAATAGCAATGAGGCCAATAGAGGACCACAGTATGAGTCATAACACCCATAAAACCGAGCAGTTAAATAGGGAAATGGTCCCAATCGTTTTTCCACCATTCATTTTTCCCATAGGGGATTTTAGAAGCACTTAAAATATGGGCTGTTTTTTGTGTAGGCTTACCCTGGCGTGCTGTTTTGATAACCGTGGAAATCTCTCTGGGACAAGGTGACTTTTATCAATATATTCGTCTGTATTTACCCATAATTTTTTTAAACGCTAATTAGCTGCTAATGTGGCTATCATAAAGAACTACAAATAACAGGTGATCTGGACGAGACTGCCGAATCGAGGTAAAGGTAAGAATCTCTGGATTAACGATCTAATGTTAGCTAAATGTAGTAATGAATAAATTGGCTACATTTCCTTAAATTGACAGTTCTGTGAACTGTCTTGCAAGTTTTAAATTGACACAATACCCGTTTAGCAAAGGTTTCAGCTAGAGATGACTTGCAGGAGCTTGCAGGGATTTGTAGTCTTGCATGATGTCTACTTTGATGCTAATTAGCATTTTCGAATATGAGAGTAAAGAGAGACGAATATATTGATAAAAGTCACCTTGTCCGAGAGATATTTACATGGTTATCAAAACGTCACGCCAGGGTAAGCCTACACGAAACATAGCCCTTATTTTAAGTGTTTCTAAAATCCCCTATGGGAAAAATGAAAAACGATTGGAACCATTTCCCTGTTTAACCGCTAGGTTTTATGGGTATTATGACACCTCCACTTTGGGGATCTATACAGTCTGAAATCAAGACTCATCAAAAACAACACGCAACAAATAAGAGCCCCTAAAGGACTTATAAAAGAGTAGCAGAAATCTATTTTCTATAAAGCTCTCTGCATTCGCCTTTAGTCCTGATAGGTACTAAAGACAGGCAGCAGACGTGTGACGCAAGTCCTTTAGCAAGACCGAGGGGATGTTGGGGGAAGAAATTAAACGTCGCACTTCAAGGAGGGAGACAATGGGAAATTGTCTTGTAGGTGTTTGAAAAAAAGACAAAACGAGGATGGAGGGGCCTTTCGCTGTCTGCTGTGAACTGCAGTTTTGGCGCACTCTGTGGACTACATCCCTTTTCATAGTGATTCCTGTAACAGGATCCTTCACAGTGGAAAGAGGGGTGTGGGTTGGATGCCTAGGTCACAGTTCTGACAGAACGATGTTCAGAGATTATACAAGTAATCCAAGAGACAGGGAGGAAATGAGATCCTATTAAACTAGTGTGAACTTTAATAGCCATGCACTAGAAGTGGATTATGAAATACAACAGTGATGATTAGACTCAATCCATGAATGAAAAGCCATACTGATAAAGAGGAAAGACAGAATGGTCTTCATTGAATTAAATAGCTATGGTTTGGTTTGACAAACACAGGTAGAAACAACTCATTACACTCCATTGTAAAGTGTCTATAATACACTGAGTGTACAAAACATTAAGGACACCTGCTCTTTCCATGACATAGACTGACCAGGTGAATCCAGGTGAAAGCTATGATCCCTTATTGATGTCACTTGTTAAATCTACTTCAATCAGTGTAGATGAAGGGGAGGAGACAGGTTAAAGAAGGATTTTTATGCCTTGAGACAATTGAGACATGGATTGTGTATGTGTGCCATTCAGAGGGTGAATGGGCAAGACAAAAGAGTGCCTTTGAACAGGGTATGGTGGTAGGTGCCAGGTGCACCGGTTTGTGTGAAGAACTGCAACACTGCTGAGTTTTTCACACTCAACAGTTTCCCGGGTGTATCAAGAATGGTCCACCACCCAAAGGACATCCAGCCAACTTGACACAACTGTGGGAATCATTGAAGTCAACATGGGCCAGCATCCCAGTGGAATGCTTTAGAAACCTTGTAAAGTCAATGCCCTGACAAATTGAGGCTGTTCAGAGGGCAAAATGTGAGTTGGGGGGGGGGGGGGTTTCTTAATCTTTTGTACACTCACTGTATATTATAACAGCCTTGGCTAAATATTAGCCAAAGCCAACAGGTGGCTTTCCCCTCACAGTTACTCCAGACTAGGTTAACTAATGACAGCGGGTCGAGCAACTGTGACTGATTCAGAGCTGTAATGGATAAAAAGGCAGGGCACTCTGCAGCCACTAATGAGTGAGAGCCATAATGGCAGCGAGCCACTCCAGCTGAAATGTATGTGCTGTCCCACAGTCCCGTGTAGCTCAGTTGGTAGAGCATGGTGCTTGCAACGCAAGGGTTGTGGGTTCGTTTCCCACGGGGGACCAGTATGAAAAAACCAAAAACAATGTATGCAGGTAGCTTAGTGGGCGGCAGGTAGCTTAGTGGGTAAGAGCGTTGTGCCAGTAACTGAAAGGTTGCTGGTTCTAATCCCTGAGCCGACTAGGTGAAAAATCTGTCGATGTGCCCTTAAGCAAGGCACTTAACTCTAATTGCTCCTGTAAGTCGCTCTGGATAAGAGCGTCTGCTAAATGACTAAAATGTAAATGTATGCACTCACTAACTGTAAGTCGCTCTGGATAAGAGCGTCTGCTAAATGACTAAAATGTAAATGTCACATCCAGAGTGGATAACGGAAAGGTCCCTGTGTGCTCTCTCCCGAAAAAAGGCCTCACCTCACGTCCCTCGGGGACCGTTCCACACTGCACCACACTCGAGGAGAGATTATCGACACCATCACGCATAAGCACACTTCTCAACTGCTCCCTTCATCTCTCTCCGTTTTCTTGTGCTCCATCTCTCCCTCCCCCTCTTTTATTTCTTTTTTGTCTCTCTTCTCTCCCTCTCTCCTGCTCTCTGGCAGCAGAGCTGACTATTTTGCTGGCTACCTGGGAACATTTACAGTGCCTTCAGAAAGTAGTCATCCCCCTTGCCTTATTACACATTTTGTTGTGTTACAGCCTGAATTCAAAATGTATTAAATATATGTTCTCTCTCACCCTACACACAATACCCCATAATGATAAAGTGAAAACATGTTTTTACAAATTTTTGCACATTTATTGAAAATTAAATACAGAAATAATCAATTTACATAAGTATTCACACCCATGAGTCAATACTTTGTAGAAGTACCTTTGGTGGCGATTACAGCTTTGAGTCACCTTGGGTATGTCTGTATTAGCTTTGCACATCTAAATTTGGGGATTATCTTCTATTCTTCCTTGCAGATTTTCTCAAGCTCTGTTAAATTAGATGGGGAGTGGCGTGAACAGCAATCTTCAAGTCTTTCCACTGATTTTCAATGGGATTCAAGTCTAGGCTTTGGCTGGGCCACTCAAGGACTTTCACATTATTGTGCTAAAGCCATTCCAGTGTTGCTTTGGCTGTATGCTTGGGGTCATTGTTCCATTGGAACGTAAATCTTCGCCCCCCAGTCTGAGGTAGTTTGAACTCTGAAGCAGGTTCCAACCATTAATTGTTCTCTCTATCCTTAACAGTCTCCCAGTCCCTGGTGCTGAAAAACATCCCCATAGCATGATGGTGCCACCACCATGCTTCACGGTAGGGATGTTGTTAGACGGGTGATGAGCTTTGCCTGGTTTTCTCCAGACATACTGCTTTACATTCAGGTCAAAGAGTTGAATTTTTGTGTCAGACCACCAAATCTTTTGCCTTATGATCTCAGAGTCTTTCACGTGTCTTTTTGCAAACTCCAGGCATGCTGTCATGTTACATTCTATTCAGAAGTTGCTTCCGTCTGGCCACTCTCCCATTAAGCCAAGATTAGTGAAGTGCTGTAGAGACTGTTGTCCTTCTGGCAGGTTCCCATCTCACACAAGGAACTCTGTAGTTCTATCAGAGTGGTGATTGGGTTCTTGGTCACCTCCCTGACCAAGGTCCTTCTTGCCCGGTTGCTCAGTTTGGTCAGACAGTCAGTGGTTCCATATTTTTTCAATTTCCCAATGATGGAGACAACTGTGCCCTTGGAAACTTTCAAAACTCTAGAAATTATCCTTGGACTTCATGGTATAGTTCTGCTCTGACATGCACTGTCAAATGTGGGACCTTATATAGACAATTCATATTCATACAATCCAAACAATTGAATTGGCCACATGTGGACTCCAATGAAGTTGTAGTGACATCTCAAGGATGATCAAAGGAAGTTGGATGCAATTTGGAGTGTCATAGCAGAGGGGTGTGAATACTTATGTAAATTAGATATTTCTGTATTTCATTTTCAAAACATTTGCAAACATTTCTAAAAACATGTTTTCACTTTGTCATTATGGGGTATTGTGTGTAGAGGGGTGACAAAATATCTATTTAATCAATTTTGAATTCAGGCTGTAACACAACAAAATGTGGAATAAGTCGTAAAGGGGTATGAATACTTTCTGAAGGGACTGTAACTCACAGCTCACTGACAGTGAGAGAGAAGGGAATCATACATGATTAAGCATTGTAAGTCAAGGTAATCTTGAATCAGAGAAGATGTTACAAATGGAGAGGACGTGTTACAAATAATATCAAGTTTCCATTCTGCTGTGTAAAATGTCAAATAATCAGAAAATGTGTAATGGTTTGTGCTGCTGAGTCACCTAGCAACAGAGTTGTTTCTGCAGTGCAGCTGTATATCAGTGTGTTGGGGTCACCTGATAAGGGCTTTCAGAGACAAACTAGCACCATGACGAAACAAACCTAGCACTTGCTGGTGTCCCTTCCAACCATGTCTTCTTAAACATATACTGTACAATATACAGAATCTTTCTCAGTGTACAGGATGTCTTATGTCCATGTTGTAATTATTACCCTAGACAGCCTATAGATGATCACACTCGTGAGAGATGCAGTGAGAATTCTCCTGCACTGCCTTGTATCTGTTCTAGAGAGGGAGGAGAGTGCAGAAGCTTTCAAACCGCCATCCCACATCAGTCTGTTAATCTTGCCCTCCTTCTCTACTGCCCCCCCTCATCCCCCTCCCTCCAAACCTCCCTGCCTCTTCTCACCTCAGAGCAATTCATGCATGCTCCCTCCCATACTGGCAGCAGCTGAGAGAGCTGGGGGTGGGTGAACAAGGTGAGTTCTTATGCCTAGCACAAGCCTCCTCTTTCCCTGTGCCACCTTAGCCAACACCCCCCTCCCTTCCCTCAGTGCCCAGGTCTGCCCTGCATGGTGACAGCCTGCATGTGTTCTGTGGGCTGGAAAAGCTGTCTGATAAGCACAGTGGGCTGCAAACAGGTGTGACAGGTTTACGCTTCCTCTTCACCTCTGGTGGAACCAAAACCCTAGCTAAAACCTAAATCCTTCCTACCCCCCTGCCAACCCATTTTACACCCTTGCCAGAACCTTACCACTCACTGCCACCACATCCCAGACAGGAGTGTGTCACCTAGTTATGTGACGCTACGGACTCAAATTCAACAGCTATATCTCAGGGATGGCTCGAATGGCAGTGTGAGTGTGTGTATGCTTGTGTAAGTACCGGCAGGTAGCCTAGGCGTTAAGAGCGTTGGGCCAGTAACAGAAAGGTGACTGGTTCAAATCCCTTAGCCGACTAGGTGAAGGTGCCCCCATCGAGCAAGGCACTTAACCCTAACTGCTCCTGTAAGTCGCTCTGGATAAGATGTAAAATGTGTCATCAGACAGTCCTAGTTCAATTCTTGCTTGAGAAATTGCTCTTGCTAAGAAGCTTTTTGACCATTTTAATTTAAAGCAATCACAGTCAGATACATAAAAGGATACTTCGGGATGTTGGCAATGATGCCCTTTATCTACTTCCCCAGAATCAGATGAACTTGTTGATACCATTTTTATGTCTCTGTGTCCAGTATGAAGGAAGTTAGATGTAGTTTCCCGAGCCAAACCTAACTAGCGTTAGCCAATGATTGGAAGTCTATGGGTATCTACTAGCATGCTATGGGTATCTATTAGATACCCAAGTATCCCTTTAATTGCTACCCAGAAATAATTTGTTATTGAGATAACAATGGCTGCATTGGGCCTTTAAAAGTTGAGAATGCAGGCATAGTTTAGCCTTTGAGAGAGATGCATTGTGGCAACCAGCCAATGACGTTTTCACTTTGTCATGTTTTGGCTGCCTGCCAAAAGGTCAAGAGGCATTAACATTCTCCCTGTGAATGACTGACTACGCTTTAGAACCATTGACACAACACAGAATCATTCCTTGATCTCTCTCTCTCGACCCCTCTCTCTGCTCCTCCCTTTGTTCCTCAGGCCTTTCAGCCTAAGTGGCCAGTAATTACGGTTCTTAGAGAGAGAGGGAGAGAGGGACAAGAGAAGGGATGGACAGAAATGTAGCAGAGGGTGGAAATGAATTGTCACAGGGACAATGAATCACAAGTTAAGAGTGCTACGGCTCTCTCTCTCTCTCTCTCTCTCTCTGCTCAGACAAGGAACAGAAACGGTGAGAGAGGAGGTGTGTTTTTTGGGGGAATCTGAGGACAGAGCCAAGTCACGCTCCTACCCCCCCCTCCCCTCCCATCGGCACTGAAAAAAGAACAGCTCACCTTGTTCAGAACAAGAAGAAACAGAAGAACAGAGAGGTGGGAAATGAGGTTCCACAGATGTCAGATTGTGAGTCAGATTCTGCAGTGTTCTCACTACATACTTTTTTTAGAAGGGGGAATGAGGGAGGGCAGAGAGCGATAAGTGTGGAGGGAGATTGTTGTGTGGGCCTGTATATACCATAGGGGAGAGCAGGGCTGTGTTCTAATTAGAACAATAAGGTCACTTATCCAGGGAGGGAGGGGTCAGCGTGATCCCTGCCAGGGAAATGTCATTTGACTAATCCCACCGCATCACAACAACAACCTATTGATCACTCACTAATTGGTAATGGATGAGGGTCACTGCATGCAGAAAACGCAGGTGTGGGGACACATGGCACACGCGTGCCCGCACACACACACGCACGCGCACACACGCACTCTCCTCTGGGACATACTCAGGTGAACAATCCCAAGTCAAATCGATCAAGGTCTAAGAGCCAATGGAAAGGAGATCGCTAGCTAAAACGAGCCAACCCTCCCTGAAACACACAGTTAATGAGCCTGTTTCATGGTGCACCACGCTAGCTGGATCAGGGGTACTCCTGGGATACATTAGCATTGCACTAACTAACTCCAGTAAAGCGGTTATTATTTATTTCCATCGGGCTGTAATTGTGATTGGGGTGGGAGTGGAACATGACCAGGGTACAAAATATTGACCTCCCACTGACCGTCCTGCGTGTATCAAGGGGTACACAGATGCACGTACCCACTCTGTCATACTGTGTCCCCACACACGCGCACACACACACACACACACAAACAGATGATGTGGCACACTACAACATATTAAGGTCTGTAGACATCACAGTGTACAAACAAAACAGTTACTGCAGGGGGGAGAGAGCACGCCAGCCCAGCTCAGCCTGTCCAGGGCAGCGTCTGGCTGGGAGAGACAGGACTGTCACAGCAACACAGACACATACAGACCACTGCATCACAACTAAGGGAGAGAGAGAAACAGGCCCTATTGTTTCACATTACAGTCCCTCAGAAAGAATGCAAACCACAATGAAACCAATCAGATGGGAGATGGCCATGTGTCTGAGTCTGGGTCAGAGCGTGCAACAGAACAGTGTACTGCCTACACTCGGTTTGTTGTTTTTATGAAATCGTTTTAATGAAATCGTTTTTAATCATAGCTAAAGTTTGTATTGCTACTAATTCCGCAACGCGGTCAACCTTTACAGCTGGGGCCGCAAGTTAGTGTCCTGGATTACTGTTAAGTAGCAGGTTGCTGCTAGCCATCATGAAAATGGAGCAGGCTAATGCTAGCAGTGCTAGCCCACCAGAGTTTTTATCCACCGCTGGGCACAAATGCTTCAGGTGTGAGATGATTTTCACACAATCACAAGATGAAGATAAGGTGGAACTGAAAAAAGGAACAGGGATTTGTCTGCCTTCAATGCATCACCATCAAGCATCTTAGGGAAGAGATCCTCCAGCTGTTAGCTCGGCTGCGAGAAAAGGAAAACCTGGTTTTCATGTACACCAACCTTGCTGTAACCCAGGCAAACCGAATCTCAGTTTGAAATGCCTCCTATAGCGAAGCTGTCGATGAGTCAGGCGGCATTGATCTGTCCCAATCCAATGGACAGATGTTAAGCTCAAATCCGCGACCCATGTGAGACTGGACACTCACAAGGTGTAGGAGATCTGGGAGGCAGTCTGGCCACCCATCTATCGGAGAAGATCCGTTCCAGCTATCAAACAGCTTGGCCTCGCTTGAGACGGACCTACCAGCCCCGGGAGTGGGGGAGGCTGCCCAGTGGCACCCTCCCCCACGGCCACCACAGTTCAGCAGGTTGTTTCCCCATCGGATTCCATCACTACCACCATCATTGTGGGCAGCTCGATGGTGAGAGATTTTGGCCTGCCTACGGTCTGTGGACAGACCAAGGTCCAGTGTCACCCAGGAGCCAGTGTCCATGACATCAGCGCCCTCCTGCCCACTGTTCTGGCCAACTACTCCAATATTGACACCATCGTCACCCACGTAGGTTTTAACAACCTTCGTTTTAGGTGATCTAAGGACCTGAAGGAGAACTACAAAAAATGTTTAAAGACCCTCGCTAGTACAGGGAAGAGAATAATTATCTCTGGCCCCATTTTGTGCTACCGAAGGGGTTCGGAACGTTTCAGCCGACTCTTTGCGCTAAACGAGTACCTGAAAAAACTTTGCAACGACAGGAATGTCTCTTTTTGTGACAACTTTGATTTGCTGTGGGAGCAACCAGCACATTTTAAAAGAGACGGGATTCACCCTAAACGCAGGGGTTCCAGGATTATTTCCAGCAAGATTGCAAACAGTTTTAGAGACTGACAGACAAGGTCTGGTAGTGCTCCAGTTCTCCCTGTAAGAATAAGCAATAGAGGACTTGTAAACCAAATAAACTCCTATTGAAAAGGCGCTATGGTTATTGTGAGTAACCTAATTTATGTTCCTTTAATTCCACCTTCTAGTGAGTTTATACAAACTGTCATCTCCTACCATTCTGATAGATTGGAGACTGTCAGAAAACGTGGTTGTAACGTTAATAATTTGGTTGTTATTTAATTGGTTACCCCTAGGCAGATGTCCCAGGGGCAGAGTGGCCCACACTCATTGAATATGGCACTTTTAAATGTTAGAGCAATCACTAGTAATTCTCGTCAATGACCTCATTACTGAGCGCAAAGTTGATTGCATGTTTCTCACTGAAACATGGCTGTCTTCAGACCGTAGTGCCACTCTTATTGAAACCTCCCCCCGGACTACATATTTTCATACTCTATCAGAAAAGGGAAAAGGGGTGGGGGGACAGCCTCTATTTTTACTAATGCTCTCAGCTGTAAGGACATTTCATTTGGCGACTTTGGGTCTTTTGAGCATCATGCGATACTGCTCAAATATCAGCCACCAGTGCTGGCCATAACCCTATATAGGCCACCAAAGCACTGCCCCACTTTCTTTACTGATTTCTCTGAACTATTGTCTATTGTCCTTGAGAACTATGATACAATTATTGTGTTGGGTGATTTTAATATTCATGTTGACAAAGAGACTGACTCCAAGGCCATTGAATTTCGGAATCTTTTGAGCTCTATGGACTTTATCCAACATGTTACTGGGCCCACCCATAACCACGACCATACTCTGGACTTGATTATTACCAAGGGACTTTCTATCGACATATCCTCTATTTTACATTTTAGTCATTTAGCAGATGCTCTTATCCAGAGCGACTTACAGTTAGCGAGTGCATACATTTTCATACTGGCCCCCTGTGGGAAACAAACCCACAACCTTGGCGTTGCAAGCGCCATGCTCTACCAACTGAGCTACAGAAATGCTATCTTACCTCTGAAGTTGCTACAGATTTTATTGAGTGTATGAACAATACTCCATCACCTATTCTGCCTTCCTCTTGTAATGATTTAGTTGATAACGTTAATAGCAAATTAAGGGCAATCATTGATGCCATAGCTCCAGTAAAGTTGAAAAAGGTCACATCCAAACAGAGAGCCCCTTGGATGAGTGAGGAAACTAATCAATTAAAGAGAAATTGCAGAAAGGCAAAGCGGAAATGGAGAAAGTCAAAGTTGCAGGTCCATTATGATATTCTGAGAGAGAAACTTGGCATTTATTACAAGGCAATTAGAAATGCCAGACGGGCTAATTTTTCTAACTTGATCACTAATAATCAGAATAATTCGAGAGTGCTCTTCTCGACCATTGATGGCCTGATAAATCCTACCCCTGCAAACCTATGTGATCTTTCCTCCACATCTAAATGTTATGAGTTTGCAGCATATCTCAGAGATAAGATAACAAACATTAGGTTGGTTATCAGTCAAGCAAGACACTGTTGACCATGAGGATTTAACTCCATGGATAAATTATTAGACTGTATTAGTGATTTAAATACTTGGATGGCTCACAACTTCCTCCAGCTAAATCAAGACAAGACTGAGGTACTTACTGTTGGAGCCAAAGCATAGAGAGAGAATCTGGCCACACATTTTAATTCAGTAATTTTAATTCAATACAGGCAATAAAAGATAAAACACCAGGTAAAAAACCTAGTTGTAATTTAAATTCTGAACTTAGTTTCGAATCACACATCAGGAATATGACCAAAATAGCTTTTTACCACCTGAGGAACATTGCCAAGGTGCAGCCGTTTCTCTCTCAGGCTGATACAGAGAGACTCATCCATGCTTTTATTACAAGCAGGTTTGACTACTATAATGCTCTTCTGTCTGGTCTATCCAAGAAAGCAATTGTCAACTGCAAAACATACAGAATACTGCAGCACGGGTACTGACCAAGACCAGACGGAGAGCACACATTACACTGGTTTTAAGTTCTCTGCACTGGCTGCCTGTGAGTTATAGAATTAATTTTAAGATTATTCTATTGGTTTTTAAATCAATCCACGATTGTGCACCCCAATACATGTCAGATATGCTTTTAAGTTATGTACCCAGTAGGTCCCTCAGGTCCTCTGGCCTTTTAAATATCCCAAAGCCTAGGACCAAGAGGCATGGAGAGGCAGCCTTTAGTTACTATGCCCTCAGCCTCTGGAATGGCCTGCCAGAGAACCTGAGGGGGGCCGAAACTGAAATTTAAAAAAAGAGATCTTAAAATACAACATTTTAGCTTTGCTTTTCCTTAGGGTGCTTTTTAGTCGTTCAGTTTTGATTGTTATTCTTTAGTTTTTTATCCTCTTATGTTTGTTGTGTAGTAAATATGAACGTTTTTATATATATTCTTTTAAATGTTTACTTTTCTTCTGTGAAGCACATTGTGTTGCATTCCATGTCAGAAATGTGCTCTATAAATAATGCTTGATTTGATTTGATTTGGGTGAGGGTGAGAGAGAATAAGTGGAAGAGTTGAATGGGGAGAGAGAGAGGGAAGGCGTGATGGACAAAGATAAGAAATTCATGACCACTGCTGTAAAAAAAAGGCCCCTTTGAAAAGAAGAGCCAAAAAGCTCCTCATTAGCATAAACAGTGACTGTATTCATGTCAGCATTATATTACATATGAAAATGTGTCTGGTGACATTATTAAACTGATCAAACTCATTAACATTTTAATGACACAGTCCCTTTGGTTTGAGGGGCAGGGAGGGGAAGGTAGCAGTAAAACCTTACCAATGCACACAGTATAGCCTATAACCCACAAAGATACCTCTAGATTTTCATCTCACGTACATCTCACAGATTGCCTGAGTATAATGATAGTAAAACCCATGCTAATGTAATGCTGTCTGGTCTCACCTCTATGCTAATACCTGACCCTAACCCAGTGTAATTAAGACCTGCCTCAGACATTCCTCCTCAACCTCCCCCTCATAGACAATCACCCACAACAGCAGGCTCATAATATGCTCAGACAGAAAGGCTGCTGACCAAGACATACTGTGCATTATCTATGCATCCACAGAAGAACACAAACAGCTTACTGCTAATAAAATTCAGTTAGGCTACTGACGTTGGACACACACACACTTGCCTAGTTAAATAAAGGTTAAATAAAAAATAACTAAAACACACACTAACACTGTTTTCATTCAATTATTGCTGTGCCTGTGCAATCTAAAACATCCTAGAGAGAGAGAGAACACACCACTATATTATGGGTTATGAAAGCCTTCACTGTCTCTATGAGGAACAATAACTATGCTAATCCTAATAACACAGAGCAATTATACCTCCCACGCTGGCCGCAGACTGCATCGGTCACACTCAGAACAAATGGTTGGTGGATTAGTTTTGCACTTGACTGGTTTTGTCTGGTAGCGCAGTCATATCCTGCCGACTACACTGCTGCCCCCTCCATTCCAATATAGCGAGAGCCATTTGGTGTGCAACAGATTACACACGTAGAAATGAAGACGTAGGATCTTCATTTGAGCCAGTTTGCTACAGCATGAAAATAATCCTGCTGTGACGAGTACTGAGTATACGAAGAGGCAGGACGCAGACGCAGGACTTAACAAGGTCAAGGTTTACTTAACAATGACAAAGAGAAATAACAACGATAGCGTAAACGACACGAAGCTTAACAATCACACACAACATCATCCAGAACAGTCCAGGGCTAAATAGGGGTGGTGATGAGATGATGAGGTGCAGGTGAGCTTCAGGTGATTAGGGTGCGTTGGGTTTCCATTCCGGTGTTGCCGAGGTGGTGCGCTCAGACCGGTGGCTCAGTAGACCGGCGAATCAGAGCGCCGGAGGGGAGCAACGGGAGGAGACGTGACACCTGCAGCAACAGGTAATGTTAATTATTATGTGGATTATTAATTAATGGGATTTTTTTGTTGGGATTGATACATTTTTCATTAAGGCAAATCAAGTCTGACATTTAAAGTGGAAATTACACAACTTTTGAAGCCTTTTTAAACCTTGGACACACTACAAGTTTGCATCTCCTGCTTTGCAGGACAATTCTCAGCAACAAAAGAGTGATCAAATTAAGAACCTACATCTGTACACAGACGCCGCACCCTCACAGCCCTGTAGTGAATGAGCAATCTGACGTGTGGGCCAGTAGATTCAACTAGTAACACACAGTAACATACCAGGAATACACTACTGTACTAAGCCATTCAAATTATATTTTTATTGTTTATCACTTGTTTCCTTTATTTTACCTCCATTCGTCCCTGCTTTTCCTCCTCACTCTCCCTGTACACATAATGGATAGTGTTACAGTGTTTGTAGAGTGGTGAGGATCTTCAGTACCAAGAATAGCAGTGTCTACAGCAAGGTCTACAGTAGCCTTCAGTCTCTTCAGCCACCACAGGGTCTCATCTGGTGTCACTGTTAATGCAGACCACCGCCCTGCCCCGCACCGCCTCACCGCCCCACTCATTATATCACCCCTACAGAGAGGAGCTGGTCACAGCGTCATGGCAACCGACACTGCCCTCTCACTGTTACAGCAGAGAAACCATATTTGTCTGTCTGTAGGTCTGTGAGCATGTCTGTATGTAAGAAATTGACAACTATTGAGAAAGTTGATGAATTGTGGTAAGGTATTGTGATCTCTCCTCTCCCCACCCTAAAAGGGAACCCTCTGAGGCTGCTAAAGTAGCCGAGCCCCCAGCCCCCCAGGGAGGACTGGCTACACGGTTGTCAGGCTGGAGATCCCTGAGAGAGGGGAGGGACGACAACGCATGCCCCTGGGACACAACGGACGCAGGGAGAGAGAGAGAGCCCCGTGGGCGTAACAGAGGTGAAAGAACGAGATGGAAAAGTAATCCCACACACATATGCAGACACACCCTCTCTCCCCCTCTGTCTCGCTCTCGCTCGCTCTCTCACACACACACAGTCTTCAAAATGATATATTCCTGGTCTGTTTCCGCGGATATTAACCATATACAGTCTATTCTATATAGTTGGGGCATATTTCACTTTTGTGATATCTCTATTAATTTGACATTTTAGTCATTTAGCAGATTCTCCAGAGTGACTTAGTGCATTCATCTTAAGATAGCTAAGTGGGACAACCACATATCACAGTCATAGTAAGTACATTTTTCCTCAAAGTAGCTTTCAGCAAAGTCAGAGCTAGTAAGGGGGAAAAAAGTAAAGTGCGAGTGTTAGTTTAGGAAATGTATTATTACTATTTTGTATTCCCTGATGAAACTTTATAGAGGAGAGAGGGGTTTTCTATCTGCAGTGCTGTTGTAGTCCAGATGATAAGTGTCATAAAGGTACAGATAGATACACAGCATGGTGTTAGGTTAGGGGCTGCAAAGGGGCTGTCTTTTGAAGGAGCGACCCTCACATACACATTCCCCCCCGCTACACATCCCCCCACACAACCTCTCCCTGCTCTCCACTTGTTGAAATCACCTTCACCAATATCACAAGACAGAAAAAGTGGAACGACAAACCCACTCGAGCAGACATGACCAAACGAGAAAGAGTGTGTGTTTGTTTGCGCATGTGTGCGTCTCTCGTCCAACCTTGGCGTTGGCCGGCCTCTCTCTGGGGCCCATCTGCGTAACCATGGTGATTGAGCGATCTCCATCTCTGTGTGTTAATCTGGTCTTCCCTGGGGCCGCAGCACACAGGAAGGTGATGCAGAATAGTAAGAGCTCATTCATTTCCCTAAAACTGCCGTGGGCAGGGACCGCTGTCTGAAGGATACCTCAGAGAGGCTAGTGTGTGTGTGTGTGTGTGTGTGTGTGTGTGTGTGTGTTTGCTTGTGTTTGAGATGTCCCCAGTCAGGGGTATGCTTTGACAGTAGGGTGACTTGGGATGGCAGCTGCTAGGTAATTTGAGCTTGAGCAATGTTGTGTCACACTCTCTTCCAAACACCCACAGACACAGCGACGCACACACGCACGCACACATGAAACACGCACACAATCTTATAAAGAGGCTTGGCTGGAATCCTACAGCAGGTCCACAGATCCTGTTACTGTGTGTTCGACATTACAGGCTACCTTACAGTCTCTACATTCTACAGTTACCGAATGAGTAAAGCAGACCTGACTACCACAACAGAGCTTTGAGTGTCTAACTTCTCTCTCTGAAATCAAATCTCTACGTAATAGAGTTTTTACAGAATAGTTGGATTATCTGGCCAGAGAATTACAGCCCAGTATTGTAGCCTATGCAGGTCTTCTAAGTATAACTTCATGTCTAGAGTTGTGATAGGTGTCTGAACTACTGTATCTCCTATTCTACGGCACTTGAGCCCATAAGAACCTGAACACCAATTTACTGGAAAATCAATGTTTCGAACTGCACTTTCAAACTTTGCTCCGGTGACAGAATCAGTTCAGATCAGAGTGTGTGAGTGTACGAACATGAGTGTGTGCGTGTGCGTGTGAGAGAGAGAGAGAGCGAGAGAGAGAGAATCAACTACTGAGGGAGTAAGGCAGTGAGACAGTTTTAAGTCTAACAGAAGCTTGCAATTCCCGGCTAGTGACACGACCACAGTGTAGGAGTTAACATTGTTCACATTCATAAGGGGAGTGTGTGTGTGTGTCAGAGATAATACAATACGTTCTACTCTGTTCTGCCGACTAACCCAGACTCCAGGACATTCTGTCCATCTCACTGCTAAGTGTTCAACCAATAAAGATAACTCTATGACACGTAGAAGATAGATAGGATACATGTTGATTTATTTTAATTGTATTATTAGGGTAGATCAGCTTTAATATTTACATTTAGCAGACACTCTTATCCAGAGCGACTTACAGTTAGTGAGTGCATACATAATTTTATTTTTTTCATACTGGCCCCCCGTGGGAATCAAACCCACAACCCTGGTGTTGCAAACGCCATGCTCTACCAACTGAGCTACATCCCTGCCGGCCATTCCCTCCCCTACCCTGGACGACGCTGGGCCAATTGTGCGCCGCCCCATGGGTCTCTCGGTCGTGGATCTCTAGTGGCATAGCTAGCACTACGATGCAGTGCCTTAGACCACTGCACCACTCCTCTTGACAGTTTAAAACTTTCTGAGAAATAGCCATTATTTACTATTTTACATCTAGGATTACTATACATGATTTTAACCCAATTTATAAGAGATTGTCCAAAATTGAAATGCTCCAGGCATTTATATATAAACCCCAGTCGTACTTTATCAAATGCCTTTTCGAAGTCTGCTATGAATAGTAGGCCTGGCTTCCCAGAATTTTCATAGTGTTCTATTGTTTCCAGTACTTGCCTTATATTATCTCTAATGTATCGTCCATGTAAAAAACCTGTCTGATTAGAATGAATAATGTCCGACAATACCTTTTTAATTCTATGCGCTTTACATTTTGCTAGAATACTGTACATGTTGTTTAATGCACAACTCAATACTCTAATGTAACCTGCCAACCCAGAGTGAAGACCGCAGGTGTAACAGTCCAGGTGCAGAGGCTGATATTACCACTGTTTCTCCACTGGGGGAATGTAATGGACTGGACTGGAGACAGAGAGGAGAACGTTAGAGTGATAATCTAGTTAGAATGACCTCACTGGTTCTCCTCCACCATACTGATGTCTGTATGTTTATTTTTTAAATTCAACAGATATAGCAGCTTAAGTGCAGCTCAAGACGTTTCTCATTTCCTAATTAATTCTCCACTCATCCCAGCTCTCCACTTTCTCTCTCCTCCACTCCCTCTTATCTACTACTCCTCCCTGTCCTGTCCCCCCCTCCATCCCCGGTTCCTGTCACTCTCTCTGCCCACTCATCTTCCACTCATCCCTCTCTTTGCTATCTCTCCCATCCTTCCTTCTCTGTGCTGTACTAGTGAATAATTGGGGAATGTCTGACAGATCAGGCCGTCTCACGGCGTATCTACTCACGGTGGATTGGCATGCCTGAGGCGCCCGCTTGGCTTGGCAGACAGATTTGGCATCAGCCACAAACTCTGCCAGTATTTGCATTCACACACACAGACATGCAGACTGCTTCGATGCCACATTTGAATGCAAGAGAAACAAAGGAGTGGAAAATATGAACTAATGAGACAGGAATTAAATCTGCCTGGGAGCTGAGATACGGAAAGCAGTTCTCTCCAACCTCCTCAGATCACTTAAACATCAGACAAATAAAGTAGAAAGAGATACGATTCTCTCTACATTCATTACTGTTGTTCTGCGGAGTAGTGTGGCATGAAGAAAACATGAAGCATTGTTTGTTATTGTGTGTTATTTTATTTCATGATCTTAATGCTAGGTCCTCATCACTCCTATCTCAGCTTTGCCCAGTGTGTGTGTGTGAGGTCAAGTGACGCCCACTCTGATTGGTTATCCTGTGGGGTGAGGTCACATTCCAGCAGAGAGTATAGTTGGTGATGTGGGCTGGGGCTGGGGCATGTGGTTCAGCCTCAGCCTCAGAACAGGGAGAGAAGAATGAGAGGTGGAAATGAGGAGGAGGAGGAGGAGGAGGAGGAGGGGATGGGGGTGTGGGTATGTGTGTTCATATGTATGGATAACTTTCTCTGGCGTCCAGCAGAAGTAGTGGCAATGTCAGAGACAAAAAACGACTGTAAACCTGCAGACCTGGCCCTTCAATCAAAAACTAATAAGACATTCAGGAGTGGATAGAGGAGACGTAGAGAGATGTTCATATGCTGAGAGATGAAGCATACAGAGAAGACAGAGAGAGAGAGAGAGAGAAAAGGAGAGAGGCACCATATGCTGAGAGGTGAAGTAGTCTGACATAGGATGTATGCTTAGTGAGCCTGCTGCTCCAATTAGAACAGAAGACAGCAGCGGGAGAAACACAGATGTGGCCACAGTATTGCCCGAGAGATCCCCACCACCAGAGAGAGGACTCCTTAGGTATGAGAACCTGAGAGGTGGCCAACAAACTGCCTGACAGATCAATCATTCCATCCCCTACGGAGATGACCCCTAACAGGAGACGGAGGGTGAGGTGGCCATGACGCCGCCTGACAGATGCAGGACACACTGAGAGAGGTGGCCAAAACAGTGCCTGACCCATCACTCATCCTTGAGCCACCGAAGAGAGTACACACCCATATGAAGGCATGTACACACACTCAGAGAGCTATATGCCTCTGGGCCCCTGTAGGACAAGACGCCCCCGGGAAATACAATTATATGCATCATTTCTTTACCCGTTTACAATAAAACTGTCATGATTGCGCATTAATGCCGTGTGTATGTGTGTGTGTGTGTGTGGACAGAATGGCTGGCTGCTGTGTCAGAGCACCCTGTGATTTGCAGATGATACATACATATTTAAATAACTCTGATTTGCATATGATGTATACATATTTAAATGGTTGTGATGGCCTATCTGTCCTCAGCTGCCAAGAGGAGCATCTGTCTCCTCCTGTTCTCCTCCTTTCACTCTCTCTCTCCCTGTACTCCCTCATCTCTTTCCCTCCTCTCCCTCTTCTTTACCCTTTCCTTTTCTCCTCCCATTTCTAGCCCCTTTAATGTGTGTAATGCTGGATCCTTATCCTTAAAATCACCTGTTCCAGGGAGGTGAATTCCCTCATCCCTTCTATCCGTTTTAATAGGGGAAATGGCAGAGAGAGAGAGAGGGATTACAGCTCAATAACAGCATGGCATTATGACTCCCCGTTCCCCACCCACACACAGATTAACTGAGGGGAGAAAACCTGCTTTAGCATTGTAACCTAAAAATACTCTCATTGTATAGAAAGGCATTTTGGAGCAATAAATAGTAATAAGTGAGTACAATCACATTCAGTGAAGGGATAAATGAAAACCATGCATCATGGTGACAGAGTGTTTTCACTTGACTGCTGCTCTTTCAATATCCGGCCAGCCTAAACACGTTTGTTTGCCTCGCTAAAGCCAGCCATGCTTTTGTGTGGTTTAGAACTGGGGAGACTGTTTTTTTTGTGGATCCGGTATAAACAAGGGTTAGCTGTCAATCATTATGGGGTCGTTTCTTGGGCGCAATTGTGGGTTCATTTGAAATTCGGTGCTGTACAGACCACAACTATTTCTCAATTCTATCCCAATCCCTCTAATATGGAACTAATGGGAAAACTAGCTTTGGAATTTCAGTGCTCAGAGTCCCCTGTGCAGACAGGTGTGTGCTTGGCCCAGTGGGTCTGTCTGTCTCTGATAAGGAATGAGAGTGACATAAGACTGTTCAATCTAAAGCTGTATGTGGAAGTCTCCAGGGGAAGATAGGGAAGGAGTGAGGGAGGAGAGAGGACAGGTGTAAGGGAGGCAGATAAAATAAAAGAGAAAAGGTGAAGTAGGGGAGTGAGAGGAGAGATGCAAGGTGCATCCCCAGTGGTAATAGCCCTGCCCTGACACAGACAGGAGTGAGAGAGGACAAAAAAGAAATAAGAGAATGAGAAAAATAAGCATAGGTGGAGAGGAGGAGAGGGAGAGAAGGCAGAGGAGAGGGAGAGAAGGCAGAGGAGAGGGAGAGAAGGCAGGGGAGAGGGAGCGTGGTGCCCCTGTGTTAGTAGCTCTGCCCTGGCTGGACCTCACTCTACAGGCCATGCCAAGACCAGTGATTTATGGGCTATTTGGAGATAGCTGGGCCATGTAACACCATCCCTCACCCAGGCCAAGAAACTGAAGAACAGAGGGGAGAGGAGGAGGAGAGGAGAGGAGAGGAGAGGAGAGGAGAGGAGAGGAGAGGAGAGGAGAGGAGAGGAGAGGAGAGGAGAGGAGAGGAGAGGAGAGGAGAGGAGAGGAGAGGAGAGGAGAGGAGAGGAATAAATGGGACAGGGGAGAAGAGGGGGAGGATGAGAGATGAGGAGGGTAAGATGAAAAGATGAGAGGAAGGAATGAGTAGGCGAGAGGGGGTGGAGGAGAGGAAGAGGAGAGGAACCTGCACAAGATCATTGATATTCACCATCAACACCAGAGAAGAAATCTCTCTCTCTCTCAACTCTCTCCTGCTCACCATGTCTCTTTACTGCTCCAGCTCCACTACACAGCTAACAGGTACATTCTTCATCCACACGCCATACAGTATCTCCACAACTCAAAGCCCCACTCTCCTCTGACACTGTTATTTCCTGCTGTTAAATTGCAGAGCTTTGGACAATAAGTCTGTGAATGAGTTATATGTGTATGTCCGCCAGTAGAAGTCGTAGCAATATCAGAGACAAAGAACGACTACAGACCTACAGACCTACAGACCTGCGGTACCTGGCCCTTCAAACAAAAACTAATAAGAGATTCAGGAGTGGAGAAAGGAGACACAGAGAGATGACCATCACATGTACAGAGTTAGAGAGGGAACGCTGACCATATGCTGATGAAGAGATGCGTCCATCAAGACAGAGAAAGAGGGAGGGAGAGAGAGAAAGAGAGAGACAGATCTGACAATTATATTTCCTCTGCAGTCGTATCCCAGGTATTCAGCGTAGCGACAACCCCATTATTAAGAGTTAATGTAAATGTGGGCAGCATGAATCTCACCTGCATACTGATCCAGAATCAGTACCATGACCTAACATGTGATCATTGAGCATAACGACTCGTGTTGGACTAACCGGCCCTTGCATGACTATGGTTGTTACGGTAATTGCCCTAGCGGCACTTGTTTCTGGCGATCACCATGGTTTCACGCAGCGGTTGTCTCATGGTCTACTTCCTCTCAGCGTCGACCATGCTCCCCGACACAGACAGAACTCAGCAGACCCCACCTGACCTAAACCTGCAACCCAAGATGGGTCCCCCCCCTCTCTCCCTCAGCCCCGCCCCCCTCTCTTCTTCTCCTCCCCTCTCTTCCTCTCCTCTCCTTCAGTCAACAGGATTTCCTCTTCATGCTCTCCTGGTTAACTTCTAACTCCCCTCCCCTGACACCCCTCCCTCTGTTCTCTAAACTTGCCCACTTACCTACTTCTCCCACAGTGAGTCCTTATAGGGATCCGATGCCCAGTGTATGTATGTCTGTGTCTCTGTGTGTATGCGATTAACTATACACCCAACACACAGACACTGGGACAGACAGACATACATAGGCACACACACAGACCACGCAGGCACGCAAACACACACCACACATGCATGTGCACACCCACACACACACACTCTCCAGGACACAGGAATAAAGAGGTGATTTCACTGTTCTGATTAGAGCAAATTAAAGGCATGGATTAACTCAGTGTTGTCTAGGCACAGACTCAATGTGGAGAGAGAGAGAGAGAGAGAGAGAGAGAGAGAGAGAGAGAGAGAGAGAGAGAGAGAGAGAGAGAGAGAGAGAGAGATGGAGAGTGAGAGGGAGAGAGAGAGGGAGAGGGAAAGGGAACTAGCGCTCTTCTCTCCCAACACTCGTGGCAAACCATGTGCCCTTAACTTGGCGTCCGGCTACCCCTAATACCTCTCTTTCACCGATAATGGGAGGCCAGAGAGGGACAAGTATATCTACTGTTATATTTCCAGGGTGCGAGTGTGTATAGGTGTGTATGGGTGTATGTGTATGTGTGTGTATAGGTGTGTATGTGTGTGTATGTGTGTATGTGTGTGTATGTGTGTGCGGGAAGGAGGGGGGCAGTGGGGGAGTGCGTGTTGTACTGCCAGCAGCTTCCTGCCAGGCTGTCAGAGAAAGTGAGGCAGGAGAGCAGCTGTGTGTGTGGCGGAGGTGACAGGTTGGACAGCTACCAACAGCACTGTATGTGCCAAGTCACCTCTGATGTGACACCTGCTGGCCACAAGCAAGAACAGGGATGCATCAAGGAGGGTGTGTCATGCTACTGTTGGATGGATGTGTGTGTGTGTGTGTGTGTGTGTGTGTGTGTGTGTGTGTGTGTGTGTGTGTAAACGCACTAGGCCAGCAGTCTACCACAAACAGAAGGGAGCATATAGTAAGGGTACATGTGTATTTGTGCTTGTAAGAGTGTGTGTGGGTTTGTGTACATGTTATTGATGGGCATGTGGCCACAGCCAAATTATAGCCGGTGGTTTTGGTGGGAGGGTGAGTGAGTATGTAGCAGAGAGATAGAGTGTGTGTTAGTAGGATTTAATTTGACAATTGTTCATGGTACTCTTAAGGGAATGGAGGCAGAATTGACGGTCTGGTGAAAGCTGTCTCTCTCTGTAGCGGTCACAGCCCAACCACCCTGACTCTGGTGTCTCATAGATAACTCTCCCCAATCTCTAACCTTCTACCCTTTCATCCATCCCTCTATCGTGTCTATCACTTCACCTCCTGTATCTAGCCCCTCCTTCAGCTCATACCAAAACACTGTCAATATATACCTCTCTTCTCCTTCCTCTCTTTATATCTTCATCTTTAACATCTCATCCCCCTCTACTTTACCATATAATTCATTTGCCTTGTTCTCTTGTTTTACTACACCTAACCTCTCTCTCTTTTAATTCATTCTTTCTTCATCTCTCTTCATTCACCATCTCCAACCGTTCTCTCGTTTCCACCCCTCATCTTCTATTATTCTCTTTATATCCCTTCTTTCTCCTGTCTGGTGTTCTGGCCTATGTCCTCTCTTCCCAGAGTGTGTGTTTTGTTCTCCGTGCTGCTGGGTAATCTGCAGGCAGCAGTCAGGCCTGTTCAGTCAGACACAGGGTCTTAACCAGGGGATAATCCTGCAGTGCTACATACACAGCCATAAAGGGGTACACACAGTCATACAGAGACATCCAGGGACATAGAGACATACACAGCCCTGTGCCTTCACGCAAAACAATAACCACACGCCAAACAGCGGCAGCCACGTCTATGGCCCAGCAGAAATACTTCAACACTGTTTCAAATGTCAACGCCAGAGGCGCACAGGGCTGAGAGGGTGAGATATGGGCATGGTAGAATGAAAGGAATAGAAGATATGGTCAAATGAATGAAGAGTAGACGATCAGACAAAAGAAGAACGCGAGGGTAGGTATGGTAAAATTAGAGAAGGAGGGGTTGGTTGGATGGATACAGATAAAATTAAAGAAGAGAGGAATGGTAGATAACTGTAGTGTGCAGCTCTCCTGAGGAGCAGAGGACTGAGGCTAGCTTTTCACACAGTACAGCTTAGTAACTCTTTCACAGAAAAGGACAGGACTTTAGACTCTGGCCAAACAGACAGACTGGCTGCCAAACTGTAAATGTAAACAGAAAAACACCACATGAAAAGGCAAATCTGACCGAATAATCAATTTTTCACGGAGGAGAGCAAATGAAACGATCATTCATGCTCTCCAATGGCCTTTGAGGAATCATCAGTCTATCCCTCTCTCCTCTCTCCAATCTTTCTTGTTGTCTTTCTATCTCACCCTCTCTCTTTCCCATGTGTTCCTCCATCTCCATCTCTCGCTCCCTTCCTTCATCTCTCTTCCCTTTTCTCCTTCTCTCCTGGTTCATGCTGTCCAGTGCTGTGAGGGTGGGATCGTCAGTTGGTTTAATTAGTATTTTATCCCACCTTCATTAGCTGAGGAGGAGGAGGAGGATGATAGATGGAGGGAGGGAGGGGTAGATCATGGAGGTTGTGCACACACACACACACACACACACACACACACACACACTGCACGCACACATCAACAAACACAGTGGTTTGTGGCTGTCTGACAGAGTGTGTGTGTGAGGGTAGTAGGGTTAGTTATTACACAAGAAACGGCTTGTGACCCTATTTGGAGAAAAAACATGTATTCTGACCCCGGCAGCTCTTAAAAGGGTGACAGTGAATACCTCTCTCATCTCTCCTGTAAGGCAGGGATATCAATGACAGGGCCCTTGGGAAGTGTTTCTGAACTGCAATCCGTCCTCATTTGTGTGGCTGTGTGTGTGAGTGTGTGTGTCAGCACATGAGAGGTAATGATTCCCCCAACAGACTGATTGGCAGATGTCCCCTGATCACTGAAGTGGGGCATGATGGGACAACAGGAAGTCATTAACTGAGGAGAGAGGAAATGTGTGTGTATGTGTGTTTGTGAGGAGAGTCACAGTCTGCCAACGAGAAGCATCACTGCCAGGACCTCTGATGTTACAGTGTGTGTGTCTGCATTCATACGAGTGTGTGCATGTGTATGTGCGCATATATTTATTTATACTGTATGTGTGTGTATGATCGTGTGCATGTGTGTGTGAGAGAGAAAGATAGAGCGCCCTGTTGAGGCTGTGAGGTGTGTGAACTGCTGTGTGTGTTTGTCAGCCGGGAGTTGTGTGTTTCTTCTTGAGAAAGATAGCTGCCTAGCCAAGGCCTGATGGGAGGAGGTCCCAGCCCGGTTGGAAATGATAAATAGCTCTCAACACCACTGACAACACACCCAGCAGCACAACATGATTCAGATAAAGGAATGGCTCTGTATTCTTTATTACGTTTTTCAAGTTCAAGTTTCAAATGTTAATGTCACATTCACAAGTACAGTGAAATGCCTTTCTTGCAAGCTCCAAACCCAACAATGCAGCAATCAATATCAATGCAGCACAAAAAATAACAATGTAGAACAAAAACAAACAAGAAATAAAAATAAGAAATAAGAAGAACATGAGAAAGTAAGAAGCTACTTGCTACAGGGCAGTAATTGTGGCATGAAGCCTTAGAGTTCTTGAGAACAGGAATGATGGTGGTCATTTTAAGACATGTGGGGATTACTGACTGGGACAAGGAAAGGTTGGAAATGACCGTGAATATTCCAGCCAACTGATCTGCGCATGCTCTGAGAACGCACCCTGGAATACCGTCCAGCGCCCTGGCCTTGCGAATGTTGACCTGATTAAAGACCTTACGTCAGCCTCGGAGAGCGAGATCACCCAGTCCTCTGGGTCGGTGGGGGCCCTCACGTACAGTACAGTGTTGTTATTGTTGAAAAGCATGCATAAAATACATTGCGTTCGTCTGGAGAGAGGCATCATTAGGCAGATCACGGCTGGGTCTTCCTTTGTAATCTGTAATGGACTGTAGCCCCAGCCACATGCGGTGGGCATCGGAGCCTGTGTAATATGATTCCACCTTATTCCTATATTGTCCTTTTGCTCATTTGATGACTGTGGAGGTCGTAGTGGGACTTCTTGTACTTGTTCCTGTCCTCAGCCGTAGCCTCAGGGTTGTCTGCAATAGCCCTATGTGAGGTAGCTCTGTCCTTTAGTTTAGCGCCAACCTCTGTGTTAATCCAGGGCTTTTGATTGGGGAAGCAGTGAACATTCACTGTGGGGACAACGTCACCAATGCATTTCCTTATGAAGCCGGTGACAGAGGTGGTTAGCTCGTCGATGTTATCGGCGGAGTCTTGGAACATATTCCAATCAACGCTAGCAAAGCAGTCTTGTAGCATAATTTCTGATTCTGATTACAATTTCTCAACGAATTGTCGGCTGTGGAGTGTGTATGCTTCTATTGGACAGAAATATAACCATACACACTCCACACTGTGTGAGAAGATAGTGGTAACGGATTCTGATGCAAACTCAATGCTGAAATTCTACATTTTCTGATTTAGTAATTTGGTTTTGTCACAGTGAGTTTTGTAATGATGTGGATATTAGGTAGCACCTTTCAGTAGCACTAAATGTACCTTTAGGTAAATGGGGTTTGAACCAAAGGTTTGAGCACAGCTTGATCATAGATTAGAACATATCAGCAAACTGCCTCCAGGCCTTTTATAGTAAGACCCTCCCCACCCCCTTCTGGGATCTTTGACCAGCCAATCAGGCCTCTCTGGGCAACGAGGTAATTACAGCATTCTAAATGCGATTATGGTGGAGAGGAAGGAAGAAAGGAAAGACTAATTGAGGCCTCAGAGAAAGCCAGCTTATCGAATGGAGGAGACCAGCGTAATGCTAGAATGAGATAGAACACAACTCAACACAGATTATGTCATCAAAGAAACCAGGAAGAAGCTTCGGCTACACGTGGGAACCAACCATTCAGAGTTCCATTCAGCTCCATTCACTGGGATTTGGCTGCTATTGCAGATAATAGACTACTTCTTCAAGAATCTTGAGATTTGTGACATGACATGACATGACTGTCTAAATCTCATTCCAGGTTTTATGTATTGTCTTTCAACAGGTACTGTCACTTGTACATCACAGCCATGGGAGTGTGTTTCTAAAAGAACAGGTGAGACATCTGTCTAACAGAGGTCAGCGTTGGAGGCAACTGCCATCTGTTGTGTTCTCTGTGTTGTCCCGAGATTAGACAAAGACCAGAGGTGACCTCACTATGAATGGGAGAGAGTTGCCCTTTCTGTAACCCTCCCCACCCACACAACAACAGAACAACTATTTCCCAATGAAACTTGAATTAGTCCAATCCTTGTGATATTAAAGAGGAGAGAGAGAGGGAGAGAGAGCGAGAGAGAGGAGAGGGGGACTGCTGCCACGCTGTACACCAGTAACAGTCTGACAGCCTGTGAACTCTGCTGCCACGGTGAGAGGAGGAGACATGAAAAGAAGAGGAAATATAAAACTAGTGTTTTTGCTGTAAAGCTCATAAACAGGCGTTTGATCGGAAAGACAGAGGCAGAGAGAGAGGGAGGGAAAGTTGTCTGAGTTCACACAGAAAAAAGGAGGGAGAGAAAGAGAGAGAGAGACAACTCTGATGAGTTCAGGGGAGTCCATTCCTGGGTGTCCTGGGGCAAAGCTTAAACGTTGGGTAAAAGGTCAAAAGGTCAGACTTATTGATTGACAGCTCAGCTTTGTGGATGCACAGTCATGTTTTTGATGATGCTGTGTTTTTTACCCTCGATAAGACCGAACAACCAGACTTAGGATGCACATTTCAGCTCTTTGTCTTTGTGCACACACACACACACACTCATGAAGAGAAAGCAGACAGCAGTCAGTGTTATCAGGAAGGTTGGGGATCTGTGTGGCTGTTGTGTCTGCTTACATCAACTATCGACTTTTCCATGGCCTCCATTTTGCTTTGGTGGCAGAGGGGATGCTATCTTTTCCTCTTCCTGATAACATTCTCACGTGTTCTTATTCCATCTCAGACCTCCCTTTTTAACCACGCATTTAAACACATCAAAAGCACACAGCGACAACGAACGCCACAATCATCTCAGCATTCAATCTTAACTTAAAGTTCACGTGAGAAAACACGTTTTTCTATGTATAGACAGAGGTCATCTTCTCCTCTGAGCTACCTGAGACTTGGTAATGGCTATGTTAACACTGCAACACTGCCTGTATGTCCATACAGATGAGTGACTGATGCACATGCATATGTAATTCTGTGAGTTTGACAGTGTGTTTGATTATTGGAACGTTTGTCTTGCTTTATCTAAACCTTGCACAGTGAGCAGCCGGGAATTGAAAGGTATATAAAAAAGGTTTGATAGAAAGTAGAAGCCTAATGATGCATATCATCCAACCCAGGCAGTATCAGAGAGGAACAGACAGAGGGCATTAAGAGAGAACACTGTGCATCTTAAATAAGACATCTCAGTCGAAAAAAATAAATGATACACTTGTCTTTTCCTACTGGCACTGATGTTGCTGCACTAACTGTAAGTCGACTGGATAAGAGCTAAATGACTCAAATGTAAATGTATGCAGCTACTGTGTTAAGTAGACCACCTACTATAGCTCCATTCTAGGCTACAGCCTGGTTTAAACCAACATTAAACCCTCTGTAGAACAGCCTGGTTTAAACCAACATTAAACCCTATGTAGAACAGCCTGGTTTAAACCAACATTAAAACCTCTGCAGAACAGCCTGGTTTAAACCAACATTAAACCCTCTGCAGAACAGCCTGGTTTAAACCAACATTAAACCCTCTGCAGAACAGCCTGGTTTAAACCAACATTAAACCCTCTGCAGAACAGCCTGGTTTAAACCAACATTAAACCCTCTGCAGAACAGCCTGGTTTAAACCAACATTAAACCCTCTGCAGAACAGCCTGGTTTAAACCAACATTAAACCCTCTGCAGAACAGGGTCATGACACTTCAACATCACTCAGTCAGCAGCACATCACACACACAGCATGACACCCATCGGACTGTCTTAGGAAAGGGTCTCTCTGTGTGTGTGTGTGATCTGGTAGATTATGTCACATAAACCCTTGAGCCTACCTAATCAATCACTGTAGATGAGGTTTGATTCGGCCCAGCCAATACTGACCAGATGTGTGTGTGTGCGTGTGTATGAGAGAGAAAGAAAGCGTGAGTGAGAGACAGAGGAAGATTTCTCTCTACCCTGAGAAAGGAGACCTTGTGACAAACGCAACACTTCCCATGATGACGACGATGAGGTTTTTCACTATTTTTAGTTTATGACATTTTCTCTGTGTTTGAAAGGCTCTACTGATACAAAACTCTTTCACACCCAACCAACCTGCAGGCTATTTGTCATACCCTCACATTGAGCTCTCTCCTTCTCTCCCTCCCTCTCTCCTTCTCTTGCTCATTTT